AAAAATGAGAGCCAGAGAGGTTGCCAGCATACACTACAAATCTGCATTGTGATAGGGCTTACGTTCAGTATTAGGTGACTCGGTAAGATATCACTCCATAAAATTGAGGTGTAGTTGTTAGTTCAAATATAGGATACTTGGAGTGTATGCATTAGCTGTTCTAATGTGCATGTAATTAGGAAGTCTGAATTACAGACATGTAGGCCAGCATCATTTAAGGTGGTATAAATAATGTTAGAACTGAAAGTCTGTCAGGTCTTATGCTTTCATATGTTGCAAATTGTGTTAGATGGCTGTTAGTGGGAGTGGTGTGAGCTTCAGCGCAGCTGTGAGAAGGAGCTGTTTTTAACTACGTGGTCCAACTAAATGTAATGTGTTTCAGCTCTTTGGTCACCTTGAGCAGGTTTGTAGTTTCCTTTATGTATGCAGTACAGTCCATCAAGTTCAGGTTACTGAAGAGACGTGAGGGGAGGAGTTGGAGAATCACCTGTCTCTTATGTGAGATTTAATCTGGTCAGTAGCGAGTGTCCCTCGCTCCAGTGAGACTGCTGCGAGCTGAGCTCTGCCTGCTGTAGGACCAGCTGGGCCAAGCCGGCAGCCTTGGTAGCCACAGCGGTCAACTTCCTGGACATCCCTCAGCATCCCTCACCGTTGCCTAGCTGGTGACTTCCCTTTTGATAAGCAACCGTACTCTAAGAACTCAGTCTTTTATGCAGGTCTTTTAAAATTACATGGTAACAAATAAGGAGAGAGCAATATAGGACTGCAATGAGGCTGACTGTCTACATAGTGTAATGGTGGGAATAGCTTGGTTTTGTCACAGTTTAGATAGATAAAATCTTTTCAATTCACTGATTGCTATAGCATCTTTGCTCCTTTTCGACCCTGTGGTGGAGTTTTAGAGGGTTGATGAAATGTGAAAGAAGGGAGAGGAAGGAAAGGGCATTACCAAAGCCAGATGGTGGTTGCCAGTGTTGAAAAATCAGGGTGGCAGGAGACAGCAGGTGGGCAAGCTGGGCCTCAGGAGAAGGAGCGGCTTTAGATATTATTCAGTTGCCCATGTTTTTAGGTTATTAAAACCCTACTATAGTCCTGTGTTTTCTTCAGTGCACCAGTTTAAGAACTTCGGTGTTTGTGGTGTACTCTTTGCTTCCCTCCTGTTTTGGGAGATCACTATTAAGCTGTGGACATGGGCTAAACTAGATTAGCGAATCATTAATCTTTGTTAACACCTTCTTCATTCTCTATTTGTTTATTTTCAATGCAAATCATTTCACTGATCCTATTTTGAGGGAGATGTCACAGATAGCATTTTTTCCAATGAGAAAGAAATTCTGAGATTCTCTGATTCACTTGTTCCTCTGCTGGGTGCAGCACCAAGTCTCATTCTAAACTGGTGTCTGTGGATTTCTACAGTGCCTAGTGAAATGGTATTTCTCTATGCTTTTATGATACTGTTTACATTACAAATACAATGGGATTCTTATTGTTTTGAAGGTTTGATGTTGAGAAGCATGGTGGCCTGAAACTTCCTGAAGTATTCCTGTGTTTTTGTTTGTTTTTTTTTCCTTTTTCCTGGAATTTTGTATGTTTATGGATTTTATGTTGTGTGATGGTTCCTGACAAATTATCTTATAGTTTTATCTGTTTGATTACTGTTTCTGCTTTAAATCCAAATTACTAGCAAGTTTGTGGTCTGTGGGGTGATTTGCATCTTCATTTTTGTAGGGCTTGTCCTATGCTGTGACAAACAGCTGAATGGGAATGTGTATGTAAGGATCATCGAACATGTTTGAAAGGCCTCCTTAGTCTTCAGCAGGCAATATCGTGTTCCATTAAATAAATAAAAAAATCCCTTTTACATGGAACTTGCACAAAAGAAATTACTTACAGAGAAATCATGTTTGAAGACCTCTTTTAGTGTAACTCTGATCTATAAGGAAAATACTTTCTAGCCATCACTCCTGCTAGAGGAGAGGAACTTTATGAAAAGCTTGATTTGATGATAGCAGTCCTTTGATAGTCGTTAAGTGTGGGAACTTGTACTTATTCTGAAACTTGGGGGATACATCATATTTTTTTATCAGTTTATCTTCTTTTACGTATGCATTTTCTTAGTTCTAGAATAAAACTTTGTCCATTTTTGCTGATGCATTTGTCTCCATTTGTTAAACCTGCTGTCATCTTCAGTGTTTTTATCAAAGCCATTTCAATTAGTACTGAATTAATCAGATGTCTAATTCATGCACAGGCAGATCTTGAAACTATGAGTTATTTTTGGCTGCTGGAGATGTGCTGCAATTGGTATTTTGCTGGAGCAGGGTGTTTGTGTTTGAGGCTTCTAACTGATCATAAATTTAGAAATTTAGGGTTAATTACTTTTTGACTCTGGATATAAGCAAATATTGTTTATGGATTCTATCCTGCCCCAGCTGACGGCTATCTAGTGACAACGACTAGCTGCTTAGTGAGAGAAGTGTAGGGGGAGTTCTCATTGGTTGTACTGGCAAGAAAATAAGGTGGCCAGTGTTCTGGAGTTGCACAGATCACCTTTCTTTTCCTGGGTTGAACTTTCCAGGTGGTGTTGGTGATCTGTCACTTGAAATTCCCTGCCCTGTCAGTATCTTTGGAAGTCAGTGTTGCTTCATCTGAAGGTCCAGTGGCTTGCTGTATAAGAAGCATGAAGGCTCTTACAAGAGGAGATAGCTAAAGATGGAAGACTGTGCTGCTGTGAAAGAGAAAATGAGCATCACACTCACATGGAAGTCAACACAACAATTATGATATTAGAGCAGCATGGGTCTAGGAAAGAAGTGTAATATGGAGGCACTCTGGCTAGAGCAGTGTCTGTGCAACAGCTGAATTGTTTGATGGAATTGCAGGAAGGCATATAAGCGGTGCCTTATTTTTCTGTCTGAATCAGGACTCGGTGGGTTTCCAGAAATCAATTTCAATACTTTCATTAAATTATAGACAGGCTTTAGGTCTAAAAAATTTTAAGTGTTCATTGGAGAGAACGTCTCTTGGGAGGAGATGGGGCAAGGCTTCTTAAAATATATAAGCATCCATTTGTTGTGTTGTTTTGTTTTGTAATCAGAAAGGAAGAGCAGTGTCATGTATTTTGCACTATTAATCATCTTAATGAAAAGGTCTTAAAGTCACAGATTTTCTTTTATTTCCAAAATATGCATGACCTTGCACACAGGTGAACCCAGTGATTGTGGTGTGTGGTTTCCAACTTCATGAGAAAATTTGGCCTTCAGATATTGTCTCCCTTGTATGTATGTGGAAGAAAAAAAGCCAGGAACAAGAACAACTTATAAATGTCTGAGGTTTTCCCTCAATTATCTAAAAGTTGACATTACATCATCTGCACAGATGTAAATATAGAAAATAGGTGTGTTATATCTCCTGACTTATTTTTAAAACCTCTTTTACAGAGGACTCTCTTTACTTGAATGTATGTTTGTGTCAGTAAATAGACACGTGGCATTATGTCTTTTTTTTTTTTTTTTTTTTTTTCTGGGAGACTGGAAGTTTCTTTAAATGCTTGTTTTCATCTTTTAAGATTATTTTTTGCCTTTGTGGAAATGCTATGTTTTCTGTCATTGACTCTGCTCTTCCCCAGGATGCTTATATTTCAGTGAAGTTGTGTTCTGTTTTTACCTAACTATCCCTCTGTCAAGGCATGTTTCAGATTCTCCAAAATACATGTTTTTTTCCTCTCTGAACAATGATATTATTGAACAAAGTAATAAATAATGTAGATGAGTAGTTTTGTATGAAAGTCAGCTGAGCTGTTAATTTTTCAGATAAACAGAAAAAACAATCCCTCCTTTAATTTCAGTGCTAAAACCCAGAGAATTAGCAAAATAGATGTGAATATTTTTGGTATTGAGACCTGTCCTAGGTCCTGATTCGGGGTAAGTTCCCTATTTGAGGTAATATTTAAGATTTAGTTTAAACAAAATCCAGAGTTAGATGACTTCTCAATTGTCAAAGGCCTTCTTAAGGATTCCATGGAAACAAAGTTTTGTTTGGTGTAATGTGTTTGTTAGGTTCTTTATTGTCTATATGCAGTGTTATAACTGTCTCTGTGTATGGCTACTTGTGGAAGTAAATGTTTTACAAAATAAAGATTTTAAGTTGGCTTGAAATTGAACTTCAGATATTACTGTAAAAGTACAGAACAAACCCAACCAATTCTGAAATCAATTTCTATTGCTGTGTAATTGCCGTATGTAAGAAAACAAGCGAGTTGAAGTGTGTTTGCTCTTTTGCAGGTGTTGCTGAAATAGTTTGATTTATTTAAAGCATATGATTTCATGCAATTGTGCCTGATTGTTAGTGCAGCTGTCAACAGCTGCATGCTCATTTAGCTAATTGCATTCTAGTAAGATAGCTAAGCTTATTTTAAGATATGCAGTTATGCACTGCTTTTTTTTTTTTTTTTACAAGCAACTACACACAATCAGAAGATTTACTGCAGAAAGTTCTGTGCTATCACAATGAACAATCATTGCTCTAGAGGAAATTGGAGAGCTTATAAACAAGACGGTATCAGCCAGTCTAGTGTATGGATAGCATCTGTGAAAGATTGGACCATGCCACTTAAATTCATATAGTTCTAAAGGCCTTGAGATGGTTTTCTCCTTGGGGTTAATTTCATCAGCTGCTCTTTGTGAGTATTTTATAGTTTAACATGTAAAACTTTCATTTAACAAGAAACTAATTCCTATTGCTGCATCAGTATGCTGGTTGTGTATACAGGAGCTATGAGCTTCTGTTACATGCTGATACAATTTCCTTCAAGAAATATATACCTGAAATGAGAATTATATAAAGTTTTATATGTATAAAAAGCATATTAGGAGAGTAGACTATTATGCATGCTAATTCTGTATAGAATACGTGTATGTTTTTTACTGGTATGTATTAGCTACGTTGTTAGTCGACAGTATGAAATTGATAATGCAGTGTTGTTTTTATTTGTTATATAGCCTTATGCCAGTATATACAGGCCTCTAAAACCCGAGATGGTGCCAGCCGTTTCATTTCAAGTGCAACAGAAGGTAAAGGAAAAAGTGTGGGGGAAAAAAAAGCACCATTTTCTGTTCATCTGATACCCTGTCTTCTTGGGTGTTTATGTGGTTCTTGACCTTTTAACCTTCTAGACTTTCTCCTCACAGCTAACTTCTTGTAATAGAGGGTGGATACGCTTTTTTCCTAAATCTTGAAGAAGAAATTAAGTGATACCACTTGTATGTCTATCTTAAACTTGCATCATCTTTGCATCTTGTCTGTTTGTGCTTTTCTTCAGTAACAAAATTCTACTGAAACTGAAGCTTTAGCTATGCTTTAACAAGAATCCAAAATATCTGAAGAGAAGCTTAGAGAATTGCTGTCATGACCACAATCTCCATAGAGTAGCATTTAAGGAAAAGCACAGATACTTAACAACATAGAAATGTTACAATGCTAATCCTTGCTAATACCTGCAGTCTGATTTTATGCTAACTAACTGTCTTGCATTTTCTGTTTCTCTTAAAAGGAGTGTGTGCTTAATTCACTTTTCCTCACATCTTCCTGCTGATGTTCTGCTTTTTCGCCTTGTTTGAGAATGAAGAGAATGAAATATTTACTTGTTTATTTTTCTTTCACCTGCAGGGGAAAACTTTGAACAGACTCCGTTAAGACGCACATTTAAATCCAAAGTTCTTGCTCGCTATCCTGAGAATGTTGAATGGAACCCTTTTGACCAGGATGCAGTGGGAATGGTCAGTATCACTTCATGGCTTTAGGTTTTTGTCTTAAAAACAACCTGAACAATTGAAGGCATTCATCTGTGTTTTCTTTGACAAAAAAAGCTTGAAGTCTGTTATAGATTGGAAATAATCATGAATTTCTCTATATTGTGCAGACTCAAAAGGCCTGTTCATTTAATTGGGATATTTTTTTAAAGGAAATTAAGTTAAAACTTATAAGTGGTAAGTCCCTAGGAGAGGTTTTGTTCTTTTACAACTTTTTTTGTTGTACTCTAGAGAATTGGTAGAGAAATAAATTAGTCTGCAATTAACGAATCTTCTGTGTGCATGATTTTTCTGTTCAATGGAAAGTGGTGAGGCTTCTTAATTTAGATAAAACAAAATACTTTTTTCTCTCAGGCTTCTGGTCTTAGTGACCAAACTACTTTTCTTTATCTGAGTTTGAATTTTGTTAGTTTATTCCTGTTGAACTTGGTAACAAAATGGTTATGTGTTTCAATAGAAACTGCATGCAGCCCTTTTAACCTGTTCCTTTAGGTTTTCTGATTTAGATGCATATTACTGTATTGTGCAGAGATGTAACACTTAAGAGAATTTAAAGTGAAATGCAATGGCAGTCTGTGGATTCTAAATCCTATATTCACCAATGCTTCTGGAGGCAGAGGGAGATAAAAGTGTGTTTTAATTGATACTATCTCTCCTCCCCCCTCTTTTATAGCTGTGTATGCCTAAAGGGCTTGCTTTCAAGACACAAGCAGATTCCAGAGAACCTCAGTTCCACTCTTTTATAATTACTCGTGAAGATGGCTCACGGACATTTGGATTTTCTCTCACCTTTTTTGAGGAAGTTACTAGCAAACAGATCTGCAGTGCAATGCAGACGTTGTATCATATGCACAACGCTGAATATGACATTCTTCATACTCCACCCACAAATGACAAAGATAGCTGCAGCAGCACTGGAGACTGCAATGGCACTTCTGTTTCAAAGCTACAGCGTTTTAACTCCTATGACATCAGCAGAGACACACTCTATGTCTCAAAGTGCATTTGTCTGATTACTCCAATGTCTTTCATGAAAGCTTGTAAGAAAGTACTAGAACAACTTCACCAAGCAGTGACTTCACCTCAGCCGCCACCTCTACCTTTAGAAAGCTACATCTACAATATTCTCTACGAGGTTCCTCTTCCTCCAGCAGGAAGGTCATTAAAATTTTCAGGTGTTTATGGACCAATTATCTGCCAGAGGCCAAGCACCAGTGAACTACCGTTATTTGATTTTCCGGTTAAAGAAGTTTTTGAATTGCTTGGAGTAGAAAATGTCGTTCAACTCTTTACCTGTGCCCTCTTGGAATTTCAGATACTGCTTTATTCACAGCGTGAGTATTTGGTTTTTGTTTTCTTATCTTGTAGTTGTACTGGCACAAGGTCTTTTCATTTCTTGAATGTTAAAAAACATACAAACAACAGAATAACTGCATTAAAGTAGCATTAGCATGCTAATGCAGTCAGGCTGATCTACGTGCAGGTTTTAATGTAAAGGAAAGATCTGGAGTTACAGAGAGTGTTGCATTGGCTCCAGTCTTAGACACCTAAAAAAACTCTGGACTTTCACATAATCTCCTGTATTCATGGACTGACTGTCCCCTTCATTGTTTTCTCTGGAAATGTTGTGCTGTTGGATAGAGTAGTATGCTATCTCCTACGTTCCTCTCTAGCTGTTTAGCTGAATTCTCTTCCATCTGCCAAACTCTCCACACATTTTGAGAAGCTTCATAGTTAATTACATATGGTTCTGAAGAATTAATGGTGCAAATACAATTTTTTTCTTTGAGTACCCAAAGTCAAATTTCAGTTGTTACCTTGAAATAAAATTACTTGCAAAAAGTTTTATTTGACTGAATTTAAATCCCGAATCTCTGTCAAGGACTTGAAACAGTTATTGCTGAAGTCACCTAGATAAAGCTTACTTTGAAGAGAATAGGCAGCAGCTAAGCTGAAATAGCATCTGTTTATTAATCAATAAGTAATTTGGTAGTGGCATCCATTTTCTGTGTTAAAATTTGTGGATACTGGGCTTCTTACTCTGCATCCTGTTACTCTAACACAGACTATGTGGAGCTATGCCAAAAGATAATTTTTCTGCTTTTTGTTGTCCTAGGCTGGCTAGTGTTAGGCCAGACCCACCCATCCATAGTGGTGTAGTTTAAAGTCGACAGACTGCATTTTGAACAATGTTTTGTAGTAATGGTAAAGAAGCCTAAAAGACCCCAAGACAAATCCAGGGATAGTCCAGGGTGTTACTGCAATCTGTTTTAGATATTTTCTTCCATTGAGCTGTCACTGAAATATGTAGAATACAAATGGTAACTATTTATAAAATATATCCTGCAGTTATTAGCAACATTCTCCAAACATGAAGTACAGATGCTTGTGTATTGAGATGTGTGAATAGGCTAAAGCCAAAGATGGATTTTGTGTGTATAGTCAAGGTGGTTAAAAGTGCTGCATTGTATAAACACTGTTACCTAGTAGAGAAAAACTATACAGTAATTCAAATGCAGTCAAAAAAGCTTGCTGTATTATTTGTAGTGGTTACTCTCTTGGATTTAAAAAGCAAGTTGCTTTGCTTATGATTCATAGAAAATCTAGAAATACTTGCCTAGCAGACAACTTCTGTGGTTTTTTCAGAAATGGATTGGCATTTATATGTTTGGGATGTAGCAAGAGTTTGTTTATCTGTCCTACCACTGGAAAACTCAAACATCAGCTCTTCCATCTGAAGAAGAATGTAGTCCAGTTGTCCTGTAGTTGTGCTTGAGACCTCCTGTGGCAGAAGTACGAGTGCCTGGCCAGTTGGAAGCACCTCAAGAAAAAAAATGCGTGCATTGCCATATTGGAACAGTGTTCCCTGATCTCTTTTCAGGCCATCACATTATAAGCGCTCTTTTCTCCTGGGCTGGAACTCAGCTCGCTTCTGGACTAGTCTTCTGTATTCTGGCTTCACTTTCCAAGTCATATTAATAGGTTCAGCTTTTTTTCTTGGGTACTTTCCAAGTGTCTGATCAGTGGTTAATTGACGAAGCTTAAAATAGCTCTTGAACAGTTGAGTTTCTTGTTTGCATGCACAGACATATGGAATTCAAAGGAGTCCATACAGCTGAAGGCCTGTGGGCCTGGATCTTCGTGACCATTTATGTCCACTGTTCCCCTGCCTTAACCTCAAGCTTTGGCTGAGTTGGGCTGTGTTGCATCTTATGGAAGTGTCTGGTCTGTCTCTATCAAGTTCTCATCTATAGTTTCTGACTGAAAAGTCGTCTTTCAGTAGCAAAAGGATTTTAGTTATTTGTTTGCTGACTTTTGGCCCTCAGTTCTGATGAACTAGCTGTGACAGTGCCTTCTCAGTAATAGTAAAGGCTTGCTCATGTTCTTGCATGTGCAGTAATGTGAGGTCTAGGTTGTCCTTCAGAATATAGATCTTAAAATTTTTAAATGTTCTTTGGATTTGTTAAATCTCTAGGTGCTCAAACCTGTGACAGTTGAGGTGGTTGGGATCGTTTCTTGTTCTCCTAGGTCAGAGGAGATTGCGATACTCATTGGGTGAATTTAAATTTAGAACAGTACATGTCAAGATTAGAGGGTTTGCTTGTAAGATTTACTGTAAAAAAAAAAAAAACAAAACCCAAAACAAAAAAAACCCCAAACCCAAAGCTCTTGGAGGACTTTGCTGTCAGATACACTCCTTTTTGAAACAAATTATTTAGTATCTTAAGTTGCAGTCAGTCCTTGGAATTGGAGTAACTTCACTTGGCAGTGGTTTAAGATTCCTTTGACATGTTTCTGAATTTATGCTTCTGGAAGTTCTTTTGTCCCACTATATTGGCACAGCCTGTGTGTTTTGGATCAGTGTAAGCTAAATGTAGGGAATGAATTCCTTGATTTGATTGTCCTCTTGAGAGAATTGTCTCCCATTTGGGAAAGGGTTAGAAGAATGCAGGTGCCTGTAAGACAGTGAAGAATCTGAAGCTGCTCCTAGTGCTGACCCAGTGCTGAGGAACCCTGGCAAAGAGACAATGGTGCTGAAGGAGGCCTTCAATAGTGCCCTCACTAGATTAATCTGTGGGAACTGGTTTGAATTCCTGCAATTTATGTTGCTCTTGTATCTGTGAAATAGACTTACTCCTTATCTCGGTAGAGCACCTAGAGCTCTTCTGAAGAGCGTGCACTGAGTTAAGACAGCTGTGAAAGCTGCTTGGAGGAGATTTGCTAAACAGCTAAAAACAATAAAAGGAAAATATAATGTGGCACTGCCGCAGTCCGTGATCTTGAACAATTTTTTATTTTCTGGGTATTTGCTGTCTGCTACCATTTTTAAGTACAAATAAAGGTGGTTTTTTTTCTGTTTTGCTTTGCTTTTGAGCCACTTCTCCCCATCTTTCTTTCACTTGCTTAAAAATATGTTCACTCTGGAGAGTTATAGTATTAGTTTTATTTCTTTGTAGTATTAGTCCTGTGTTGCTCAACTGTAATCTCTTACATAGGACACTTTTTCTTTTTATGCCTCTGGCGATTTAGGAAAATTGCTGCTTGATGCAGGCATCTTTAATCAGCCTGTCGGACACAGAAGTGAACATGAATAGGAAGTACTTTGAGTACCACAGTTCTCTCTTACTGCAGTTACAGGTTTTTTGAAGTAGAAGGCCCAATTAAAGAAATGTATGTTTTCTCTAAGGAGTCTGACATACTGAATACCTGTGCTCAGAAAAGCTTGTTGAAAAATGTTTCTTTTACACCATACTGTCTGCTATGAACAGACATGCCTACAGGGAACCCTCCAGGCAACACTTTATTCTGGTGGCTCAACTGCTTTGCATGCTATCTGTCCATAGGGACTGTGTATATAATTCTTTCCCCTTCTGTTTCGCTTTGGGTTACAGAGAAGCTTAATCCTGGCAAGTAGCCCATCTTTCTGGTTTATCTATATACGTTCTGAAGATCTCCAAACTTGTCTGTAGTAATGATCGTCCACTGTATGGGCAACTCTCTGCCTTAAAGCAGCAATATGGGAGTTGCATGTGGAATGGGAATTACTTAAAAAATACAACAGTATTTCATTGGGATCCTTGAAGTAGGCAGATTAGACAGAAAAAATATTCCAGAGTGTGATCATGTAATGGTTTTAAATTTGGCCAAGTCAGAGAATTTCTGTAGGCACTTGATACAACTTCTCTTGGGTAGAATGTGAGAATAGAGAGGTGGAACAATGGTTCTTACAGTTGCCACCTTCTTCCCATCCTGCTCCTCTCCTTCCAGACCCAAGACCCCTCAATTTTTCTTTTTTCTGGATTTACTTGCTTTTTACAGATCAACAGGAAAATGTCTATGTATACTAGATATAGATAAATATAGGTGTAAATAACTTCTTATACGTGGTTTTAAGGGATAATGTATTTTACCTACAGTAATTGGTTAGAAGAACAAATCAGCCTTTTCTGTGTTCTTAAGTGGCTGTGTTAAAAAGTAGTGGATTTTCTTTTCCTTGCACAGTGATCAGTTAAGTGCTTTCCAAACTAATAGCACACTAGTGGTATGCAATTTTTTTCCCTACCAGTGCTCTTGTACAATATAAAGCCAAAACACTCTGTATCATTTGCATCAGAATAAGCATATTCTGCTTTCAAAAACAACAGCAAGACCACTACTGAAGTGCTTCTTCCCTCTCTTACATTTTTTATTACTATTAATTTTAAATCTTATGTAATGCTTTGGTACAAGATGTGTGCTGCTTCCTTCTTTTTTAAAACAAAAAAATCCCTCCGTACCCTCTCAGGATAGATATAACTTAAGAAAATACTTATGTTATTTTGGTTTATGTTTGCAGGCTTCTTCCCTTTGTCCTTGCCTTTTGCCAACAGTTCCTGATCATAGAATCATGGAACAGTTCAGTTTGGAAGGGACCCTGAAGATCATCTAGTTCCAACCCCCCTGCCATGGGCAGGGACACCTCCCACTAGACCAGGTTGCTCAATGCCCCATCCAACCTGGCCTTGAATACTTCCAGGGATGGGGCATCCACAGCCTCCTTGGGCAATTTGTTACAGTGTCTCACAACCCTCATAGAGAAAAATTTCTTCCTGGTGTCCAATCTAAATCTCCCCTCTTCCAGTTTGAAACCATTACTCCTCGTCCTATCACTACATCCCCTTGTAAAAAGTCCCTCTCCAGCTTTCCTGTAGGCCCCCTTCAGATACTGGAGGGCCGCTATAAGGTGTCTCCAGAGCCTTCTCTTCTCCTGACTGAACAATCCCAACTCTCTCAGCCTATCTTCATAGGAGAGGTGCTCCAGCCCTCTGATCATCTTTGTGGCCCTCCTCGGGACCCACTCCAACAGGTCCACATCCTTCTTGTGTTGAGGGCTCCAGAGCTGGATGCAGTATTCCAGGTGGAGTCTCATGAGAGCGGAATAGAGGAGAAGAAACACTTCCCTCAACTCAAGTCATTGAATACCTCAGCCTTTTCCGTATCCCAGGTGACCAGGTCTCCTGTTTCCTTCAGGAGAGGGCCCGCATCTTCTCTAGTCTTTTTATCACTGACATGCAGAAGTCTTTCTTGTTGCCCTTAATGTCCCTGGCCAGATTTAATTCTGTCTGGGCTTTAGCTTGCCTAACCTGGTCCCTGGCTACTCAGTTTCTCTGTATTCTTCCCAGGCTACCTGTCCTTGCTTCCACCCTCTGTAGGCCTCCTTTTTGCTTTTGAGTGTGTCCAGGAGCTCCTCGTTTGTCCATGCAGGCCGCCTGGCTTTTTTGCCTGACTTCTTCTTTATTGGGATGCAATGATGTGCATGAAGTCTGCAGAACATAGTCATTGTTGCTTGCAAGCTGTGACTGTGCAGGCCAAATAGTTGGGAATAGCTTAAGACATGTAGATATCCGGGATCGGAGAGCTGCATTTGCAGATAACTCGGTTACAGGAGATAGCTGCTGAGTGGATAGAAATTCTGAATTATTGATGTTCCTTTGTAATTAATTTGAAAGGCTAATACTAAAGTTAGCTTAATGACAGAGAGAGAGAAGTTGTGTTTAAATTAGCCAGCAGGATTAGACAGAGGGCTGTCATGTAGTAGGAAAACACTGTTTCTATTCTGAGACTTGTTCTTTCAAATAAACAAGCTGAATAGGAACCAGCTGGAATGTTTGTGTATCTGTGGCTACATTTAAAGTTCCTTTTAAAGCTGAAGGAAGTAGGGTACGGAATGGATTCTTCTTCTCAAAGCTTATCATTAATTCATCACTTCTTTGCAGTCAGGCTGTGATTAAAGCTGCAAACCAATAAGTAATTGCATAGGCAGAGACTGGTGTCCAGGCAAACTAGGGGAGTGTTGCTGGTGATGTTCATTGATTGTTCCCTAATGTGTTTCAGTCCAAGTAAGCTTTTGGCAAAAACTTTAAACTGTTTAAGCTATTCTTGCTTGTTTTGATTGAAGGCTCCTTCAGTCACAGCAGATCTACTTGTGAGGCAGTGACAAGCAGCTGCGTGCAGTAACCTTTTCCACCAGCAGAGCTTGATCTGAAAAGGAAAAGCAAAAGCCTAGATTGTAGAATTGTGACTGATGTTAGCCAAACTTTTCCTGAATTCCTGTTTGGTTGCGGGACTCTTTGCAGTCCCCAAACTCTGCAACTTTGAGTTCAAACAAAATTAATCATGAATGCCAGGAACTGAATTTCTTGGCCCTCTGTCTTCTGCTATCTGACGTCTGAGCAGAGAATGGCTAAAGGATAGAATTAAAGCCATAACCTTAGAAAGTGCACAGTTAAGCTTAATTTTTCTCCAGAGTGTTTGTTTAGAAGAAATGTTATTTTTGCAGTTTTCATCTGTACTCTGCGACAGTGTGCCACAGCTTCACCAACCTCAACACCTGAACCTGTGTGTTCAAGTGTCTCTTCCATTTTCACAGTGTCTGTAGTTTTATGAACATTTTGGGAGAAGACACGCATACCTCGCACAATAACATATATATGAAGGTCACTAATTTTTTTTCCCTTCCTACTATTTCCCACCCCACCCCCCTCCCCTTCCCTGGCTGGAATTGCATATTGTTGCAGTATCATTATAGCTTGACTGAAGGTAAGTATTACCTTAGTCTTGTGAGCTTGTTTTATATTCTTTCCAGCCCTGCAGCTCAAAAGCATTCTGAATGTTTCAGCAGTTGTATTAGACCACACGCTCTGAGTTCATCTGGTGTTGCTTCCTCCTTTATGGTGCATAGATATCAAAAACCATTAAAGATGATTCTGTAGTATAAAAGAGGAGGGCGAGGTTTTGGCCCAGCATACTGCAGTGTTAACTGCTCTAGCCACCAGCTGCAGAATAAAAAGATTTTTTGGTATACATGTTGCACAGGTGCAGTTAGCACTGCTGTTAAAGTCTAGGAGGAGATGAGATGTTTTTACATTGAACTGAGACTTCAGTCATACATTGCAAAGGATAAACGAAACTGATCCTTTTTATTTTCTACATGGTTATTTCAGTCACACTGTTGGGTTGGCTACTATACAGCATGCTTTATAGACATTTAAACACTCTTTTAAAATATGCTTATATGAGAGATACCAGATGCCTTGGGTTTCATCCAAGGCTTCCATAGAAAGCCATAAACACAGAGAAAAGAAATTATTTCTGATGTGTTTCTTAGCCAATTACAATACTGCTTCTATACTCAAACTGATGTTCCTGGTAACCCTGTATAGGTAGCAGAGGGTGACTTAATGGATGCTAAGCCTCAATTTGCTCATTTCTGTATGACTTGTAGCATGACCTACTTTGCGTTCAGCTCTCTTTGTTGTTTCAGCAAAATGTGCTTGGGTGTACAAGTCTGGGCTTTCATTAAGATGCTGCTCAGCTAGTACTGGGTTTTGTGGTTTCTGTTTTAAAGCAAGCTCTCATTTCTTTAACTTAGATTAATTTACTTAAAAATGTTTGTGAAAGAAATCTTTTTTTTTTTTTTCTTGATATTTTTCAGATTATCAGAGACTGATGACTGTGGCAGAGACCATCACAGCACTAATGTTTCCATTTCAATGGCAGCATGTGTATGTTCCTATCCTTCCAGCATCCCTCCTTCATTTTCTAGATGCTCCTGTCCCTTACCTTATGGGCTTGCACTCTAATGGGCTGGATGACAGGTCTAAGCTGGAACTTCCTCAAGAGGTGAGAGGAGCTCGTCTTGATGAATTAAATATTGTACATGACTATGTGGGAAGTGAGAAATAAGCCAAAACACTAGTGTTAACTGTAACAGCCATTGTGAAGTTCTTGCTGGCTATGGTTTGGGAGAGCTCTTACTTTTTTTTTTTTTTTTGGAGACACTGGAGAGAATCTGGTGAAATAGACAAATAAGCCCCTGTTTTGGATATTTTATGCTTTGATAAAATTAAACTGTGATTTTTACAGGTATTGATGCAGTGGAGTTACAGAAAGAACACTTTTATGCTGCAAAACTTAGCCCTCTAGTGCTAGGAAATGCAAAAAAATGCAATGTGAATTCACCAACTGTGGACAAAAGGCCATATAGCTGCTTCTGTGTGATGCCGAGCGAGCAAAGCTTGACTGGCTTCAGTGTTGTGCTGTGCTTGGGCCGGTTCCCGGCTGCGCAGGATTAAGCTGGGTTTCCTCACACTGCATTTCTGAGTTGGTGTTGGCTTACATGCACCCAGCCTGCCAGGTGTCTGCACCAAAACTCTCAAATTTTCTTCTAGAATGCATACTTTAGTCGGCAGCAAAATGGCAGCATCTACTTGAGTAAACTGGTGCTGATTGGGATAGTGGTCAGGAAGTCCTCCCTTCATAGTGAGGCTCTGTTAACACCAGCCACTGTATAAAGGAGGAGCAAATGGTCTGTAAAGGTACTGCAACTCGTACATGGGGCAGGGACTACGTTCACACTGCTAAGAAATTGTTTTTATTTACTTTATCCTACTGCTCTCTTTAAAAATATTATTTGTAGGGACATGCCAAGAGAGAGTTTAAGAGTTGGTTGTGAGGATCAGGGGACCAAGAATGGTTGAGTGCTACCTGAGGTAGCAAAGGAAACGTCTGCAGAAGCCAGCAACCACCTATGGGAAGTATGTCAGGCAGCTGGCACCTGGCTGGCTCGTGAGGCAGTGTCATCGGTCATCTGAATGACCTCTCTCATTGAGCGCCATTGAATGGTTTATTTGCTCTTGTATATAGAAAATACTGCGTGTTACAGTATGGTCTGGCTGGCTGTTCTCAAGAAGCTGGACACCTCTGTCAGGTAGCCCTGAGGGAAGCGAGTGCTTGCAGAGTTGTTAGTTGCGGAACAACACAGCTCTGGCCCCTGCTAGAGTCTGCTTACTTGTAGGTGTAACTTTGCAGGGGAGTGACTGGGTAAACCATGGGAAACACCCTACTTAGAGGCACTGGTAGGGTTCTCTAATTTCTGCTGTTTTCTCTGTTTGCCTGTTTTCTTCTATTATCGTTTACTTTACCAGGAAAGCAGAAGTGTAGAGGGCTTTGTGGTGGTGTTTTTTGTTTTCGTTATCAGGCAGTGCTGCAGCATAGCTTGACACACACACACAAAATAAGCCTTCTGAAAAAAGCTGTGTGAAATTAAAGACAAGATATTTCTGTGAACCTCCAGTCTGGTCACCATGCCAACATTGCTCTTTTTCTCAAATCCATATGCTGATGGTTTTCATTTGTTTTTCCTGGCAAGTTCAAAGGAAAATTTCTCTTCAAACTGTGTTATTTTTTTTTTCTGTGAAAACGAAAGTATTTAATCTCTTAATTTCTTTCTTTTCTCCCTGTCATTTTTTTTGCACTGGCATAATTAATAACAGAGTAATGTATGTTCTTCCCATGGAAACAGTCTATTGCTTTGGTTTACTATGTTTTTAGAAAATTTTGGATGTACTGACAGGCCTAATTAATATGGTTAGTATACTTCTTAGAGAGGATATCTAGTGAAGTAAAATGCGCGTGTGGATATGCATGTTAATCTGCACCATGGATGTTTTCACTGTTATAACAAGCTTCTAAAGGACTTTTCTCCTTTCGTAAAGAATTTCCTCATTTTAAAATCGCTTTAATACTTCCAACTAAAGAAACATATTTTAATTTCAAATAGATATTTCAATTATTTAAAAGGTAAATGGTTTTGAAGAGCTTTATCAGCTTACTTTGGAGTTTTAAAGTAAGATAGTTGATCTATTTTTAGATGTTAAAAAAATAATCTGACACCTCAATTTATGTTTTGTTTTACAGATAGCCCTTTGTGAATGTGGAGGAGTAGATTTTTGATAGTATCTTACAGAGATCAGAATTGTCTGGGAGGGCAAGGGGGGAGGACGCACAGGACTGAGATAGCATCAGCAATGTGCCCGTGTGATGGAACTTAAACTTGTCCTTCCAAAGCTTCAGCTTTTCTCTCTCTTATTCAGTGCGTGAGCTCTTAAAGGTTTGTATGCGATGAGTATGACTTAGTCTGAGAAATCCCCTTGGTGGTCACTCCTGAGTAAGGTTTCTTGTGAACTGTTGGAGTCCTTAGTACTGCAGGCTGGGAATGTAGCTATAGCATAGAAATGGACTTGAACTGGTGGCTTCAAAGATGACTAAGAAGTTACCCTATACCAATAGATTTGCTTATCTGAGAGGCAAAATAGACTGGGAAGAACAGGAGCTCACTGTTTTTAAGATTTTCATTGTAGAGGGTTTACTTTCAAAAAACCCCAACAACCCTCAAACCAAAAACAAAAACCCCCAAAACATTTTTAAATATAAAGTGAAATTCAAAGTGCATGCTGGTCTCACTGAGTGATACTATTGGTCATTGTTGCTATTTCTGATATTAGTAATTTAATCAATCAGCTCTAAGATATTTAGAACTGCAGATTACAGGTTCATCCCAAAACTACTTTGCTTTATGATTAGGGTTTCAGATAACCTTCACTTAAAGAGCCAAAGAAGCTTTACACTTAATTCCTGACATAGAAACTGACAAGGAACATGCATAAAATGTGTGGTAGAACAGTAGAAGAGGGTATATGGATTCTGTTATTTGTGCTTCAATAAAGACAAATTTATCATTGGTAACGAAAAGGATATTAATATTTAACATTGCTTATCTCTAAAGCTTGGAATGTATATGATCCTTTATGAAATCATCAGGGTTATATGAGGAACTTAATTTCCAAGTCCTGCTGCTAGGCTCCGTATTCATAGATATACTAAGTATCAGAATTTTCCTCACTTATTGCAAAGGGTATATAAGGAGCTGTTCTGTGTTCTAATTTATTCTGAGTTCTGAAAAAAAAAAACACCCTTTTTTTTCTTTGTCTTGAAAGTGCATAAAATGCATCTCTGTTGCTAGTCTGTTTACATGGATGCATGGGACAGCTGCTGTTAAAGAAAGCAATATCTACTTTAGACAAGGGCTGGAGAAGTGAGCTTTGACAGAAAATCTAGTTAGTGCTTCTCATTTGAAGGGCATTGTGGAGGAATATAATGTGGCTCTCCAGCATAGCATGGATACCTCAGTGTCGCTGTAGACTTCTTGCTTGTGGTTTTATAATGAGTTTTTAAAAAGACTAATTTGTCTTGCTCAAAGTGTTTTAGGCTAATATATGTGACAATACTGTCTGTCCTAACTCAGTCTGGTTTGGTTTAAGTCTTGTACACATATGCCACAAGGCTTGTTTTGGTTTGCTTGTGGTGGCAGTCTCCCATACTTTGGTCATGTCTGGTACTTTAAGGGAATGCTTTACCATGGGAGCATGGAAACCCAACTGTATCCTAGAAGTTGATGGTTTGTCAGATGATGATTAAAACCTTCAGCAAAATCACAGAATCATAGAATGGTTTGGGCTGAAAGGGACCTTAAAGATCGTCTAGTTCCAACCCCCCTGCCATGGACAGGGATACCTCCTGCTAGACTCAACTTTTGATGTTGCTCAAAGCCCCATCCAACCTGGCCTTGAATACTTCCAGGAATGGGGCCTCCACAGCTTCCCTGGGCAACCTGTTACAGTGTCTCACAACCCTCATAGTGAAAAATTTACTCCTGATATCTAATCTAAATCTCCCCTCTTCCAGTTTGAAACCATTACCCCTCCTCATATTACTACATGCCCTTATAAAAGTCCCTCTCCAGCTTTCCTGTAGGCCCCCTTCAGATACTGGAGGGCCGCTATAAGGTGTCTCCAGAGCCTTCTCTTCTCCTGACTGAACAATCCCAACTCTGAGACTGTCCTCATTGGAGAGGTGCTCCAGCCCTCTGGTCATCTTTGTGGCCCTCCTGCATTACGGCAAAATTCAAGTTTAGACTATCCCTTGGGTACATCAGAAAACGGTGCCTGATGGAGAATTCATTGAAGTTCACCAATGACTTGAAGACCTGACTCGCTGTGGCCCAGTAAAATTGTAGAAAAGACTCAAGGTTTGCTGTAGGGTTGAGTTTCTTGTACATGTCAGTGGTATAGTGCACTTAAAGTTAAGTTTGTTCTTACATGTATTGCTGCTTTGCTGAGGGCTCTTTCTGTATGCGTGAGCGTCCTTGTGGTTTCACTGATAGCTGCATCAGAGGCTTGTAAGGAACCCAGAAGGGGAAGAGGGGGGGGGGCCGGCAGAGGCTTGTAAGGAACCCAGAAGCGAAAGAGGGGGTGGGCACGGGAGAAGCAGTGCTAGAATAAGGTGCTGCAAAAACCAAAGGGGAAGAGAGGAACATGTAGCTGTTTCAGATGTTGCTGGCAAACATGTGGTTTATTTATCAGTTAAATTGATCAAAAAAGTGGTTAAACTAGCTCTCTGGCAGATCATAAACCCAGCAAGTACTTAAGTGAGATTGGTTTTTTGATGTGTCTTTGAATTTCCTTTTAAAGAAATGTTTGCAGTGCTACAGCAATGTATTTTTAACAAGCAAGTTAATCTGGGCCATTTCATGCTACTGGATTTGCATGCGCATCTCGCCACTCTGTAATGCAGGAGAATGGTGGAAATTTAAATTATTTTGAGTGAAAAGAAGCAACACTTGGTCTTCCAGCACTGGTTAAATCAAACAGAAGTAGTATCTCATTAAAAAAGCTTATTTTTAATTGAGTGATCCCAAGGGTCTCGGGCAATAGCTTTTTCTTTTAGAAAAGCTTAAAGATTTTAAAAGCTAAGATCCAGTTCTCTGCTAATATAAGACATATTTTCAGTATTAAACCATTAAAAAGATGATATTCAATACTAAATCTTAACAAATTCTGTGGGTTTTTAATTTTGTATGTTGGTTTAGAAGATAAGATCTCTTGAAAAGCCTTTTTTCATCTTGATGCCAACATACTTAGACCAGACTGGCCAAGGTAACTGTTTTTCAAAGATAACCACTGCTTTGTATGCGTTCTCAGGCTTTCTGCTGGTGTGATGGATCCTTGATTATATTGCAAATTTATTGACAAACTTCAGTTTTATGTTTTTCTGTACTTCAGTGTTAAACAGCCACTTAAAGAGTTAAATTCATGTTTCTGAAAGCTGCAGCTGTAAGTTGTTCTCAGTCATAAATTCTGGGTTGACATGAAGAACAGTAGTGCTGAGAATAAATGCAAAAGTTCACTGTTTGCTTACAGGAATGGCATAGGAGCATCCTTCAGAGTTTAGGACCACTGTAAACACATTTTCCACAACCCAGCCGTGTGTGTGTAGATTTGCATGTCCATGTTTTCTGGGTGTTAAGTGAAAGGGGTGGTTATTTGCAAGATTGAGACCTAATGCACAAAGGTGATATATGCTGCAGAAATGCTGTAGATGAATGGTTTTTAGCTTTTCAATGCTGTATTAGAGCAGAAGTCTTAACTCGGAACCATGTTTCAATCTGACTGGCTAGGAGGGGATGTGAAAACCTGTATGTAACCTACAGTTTGAATGCCTGTGCTGCACAGAGAATTCAAGTAGTGGTGATTGCGCTATCAAAATGAACTGTTCTATATTGTTGTAGGCATCTAGTTGCATACCATGTAATTATGTATTAATGTTTCAAATAAAGCATATCTTCTCTTTAGGATGTCAGTAGAGTGGGGAGCTTATTCATTATTAGTGAATATTAGTTCCTCCTTAGACATCCTTTTGGCAGAACCTATATCGTATCTTCTATATTTTTGAACAGAGCTGAAAGGAAGGATACGGGCTTGATGCAGACATCGCTAGATATGTATGGGGGTTTGGCCCTTACTGTACTTGAGGTCAAACTAAAGAATTGCAATTGTCCTCTGGGTTTGAAATTGGTGGGTGTAGTCCACACCCCACCGAGCCAATGGAAAGTTGTGCCGTTGACCTCAGAGGACCAGGCTTTGGCATCAGATACATGAATATTGACTTACTTGCATCCACGTTTCTACGGTTTGTAAGACTTTCGCCTGCACACCGCATTATTTATGATGATAAAGGTTTATGGGAATTACAGGCTTTTAAATTAGGATGTGACTCTTGTTCCTTAGTGTAGTGTCTCAGGAGAATCGTTTTAATGTGTGATCATGCTATGTGTCCTGTCTTGTAACAATCTGCTGTTAAAGTGGTGTGCAACTATTTGAGGTTTTCTTTTGGTCAGAAAAGCAATACCTCAGCAACAAGTGAAAGAATATTTGACTGTTCTAGAGACCTGAAATACCAAGCTACTGACTGAAGGATGCTCTTTCCGTTGTATCTCTACTTACACGTGTTGCTAAGTATCTTGTCTTTATATCATTTTAATTTATATGTGTAAAATGATGATCAGTGTATCCATAGAGGTTTACGTGCAGAGCTGTCATCTATTCACAGCTCACTCAACTCTGCTGCCTCCAGAAACAAAGTAACTAAAACTTTGTGGTCAAAGGATTTCTTTATTTTTCTACTTTCTGTACTTGCCCAGCTCCTAGCATGCAAAACGCTTTGGATGGCCATGATTTCTTAAAAAATAACTGCTATTTCATTTCTCTTACTTTTTAAAATAAATTGAAGGTGGGGACCCCCTCTATCCTTGCTGGTACTCCTTTCTGTTGGATCTATAGTGTAGCAGCATTGTGAGACTTACTGTTCTGGTGTCTGTTACTGGCGGTTTATTTATTTGGGATTTAATTTTTACAGAAAAAAGTTGGTTTGGTACCTCTTGAAGGGCTTGTGAAGTGAGGTGTCTTTGCCAGTTCTGTTCCCTGGGGAACATGGCCTTTCCGGAAGTGCTTATGCAATTCTTGAGGATAACCTCAGTCTCCTGAAGTTAAGAGAGACTGCAGCCATCTACTGAATCTCCTTCGCTTATGCTGCTCTAGGTAGTCCTCTAACTTCTGGGTTATTAACCAGGCACTGAATTAAGTGTAGAGTGTCCCCAGAAATACTTTTTACACTCTTTACAGTATTGCTGCACACTAACATATTTCTTCTTCTTTTTTTTTTTTTTAATGCTTCTATACAGGGCAATTCTGAGGAATGTAATAGTAATCTGCATGATAAGCAATCATTGTTAGTGACTTAGAGTGTTTAAAATATGTGTATTGCTCTTAAAGAGAAACTCTCCAGAAAGGATATTTAACTGTTGAAAGAAGTAGCCAGATGAGCCAAGACACTTACAAGCAATTTTAGCAAGCATTAAATTTGGCTTTTTCTTCATTGGCAAGGAGTTTATTTTCAGTGTGAAGACTAGAATCTCTACGTTGGTAAGGCTAACATTTGGTTACTTTTTGGCCAAGCACTTAGATACGGCCAAGCTTAACCAGGAGTGATGTTTTCTGCAAAGTCTGTGCTAAAGTAAGATAGTCTTTAAGGAGGAGAGTTTAATGGCATCAATTAAAGAGAGTTTAAAAGGAAGAAATGCAATTAAACTGCTTGAAGAGTTTCTTAATAAGTATGTCTTGACATTTTTCAGCCAGCTTGTGACGAAGTAGATGTTTTTTGTTCTTCCCTCAGCACCAATGGGCATGCATTGTGCCTAGTTTCAAGGTGTTATTTCTCTCATGTCTTGAAGTGCTTACAGTATAAATATTAGCTGACTTCTAATCGTCATAGAACCATGTGTATAGTGGGGGTCTTGGAAGTTCCTAAATTCAGGTGCTTACTTGAAACATGAGAGTTCTTGTGTACACACTCTCCCTTTGTGTTGAATGCTTCTTTGAACGAGCAGCTGATGCACTCTGCGTGCATCCCTAGCCTGCCGCTGGAGCTGCCTTGTTAGGTAGGCACACACAATACTTGCTGTGTTTGAGCAATGTTCATATTGGGGAAATCTAAACACTGACACCTGCCCTATTTAAAAAATAAAAACTTTTTCTAGGGTGCAGCAGAAGCTTGTTTCAGAATCAAGGTCTTAGTTCTATTTATTGATCTTGGATTCTTTTGCAACACCTAATTCAATTTGTGATTTAATTTACAGTAAAGGATCTATACATGGGTTACTAAGCTGTTTTATATGCATTCATTTGAGCATAAGAAATAAATACCAGTATTAAAATACTAAAAAATCAGGAAATGGACAACTGGAATTCCTCTATTTACCTTTGTATGAAAAAGCCCAATTATGCTCTGCTCCGATATTACCCAATTACGATGTTCTGTGCAAATATAGCATAACGTCCAGTGGAATTCTGCTTTAAAAGTTACAATGTTCTTTTAATTTTAATGTTGAAGTTCAAGAAATCAAACACAACAGTTATTTGTGCTTTAAGAAGAATTGATATCCTAACTCTGTTCTGTAGAACAGCCAAGAGAGCGAAATCTGTCATAAGTATTAAATGTATGTTTTCACAGTAGTTTGCTTAAGTGAAGGGATCTTGTCATGCACAGCTTATCCTAGTCTACCCGTGATCAGTCCCACAGTAAAATCCCACCAGAACTACTTTTTCCTTACTGATGCTTCACTGCTTGTGTACATTGCTCTGATTTCTGGGATCTTCCATCATTTGTTCAGTGTGAGGTTAATCTCTTCCAATTCTTTCTTTCCTATTAAATTGTGAGAATGCTTCTAGCATTCTGCACTTACTGAATCAGAAGAAATAACTGGAAATCTGTTAGCTCTTATGACTTGGCATGTATTTTTGCTGCAAAGCTGTAATGAAACCTGAGTTCAGGTGTGCCTCTTGGAATAATGTGATGAAGCTTGGTTGAAAGTACCCCATAATCTGTGTGAAGGTTTGTTTGGTTTTGGTTTTTGTTTTTGTTTTTTTTTTTTTTAATAGGGAAGGCTAAGTGACAGTCCACATTAATTCTGCAGTGAAGAAAAACTGAAATGCTTCTACAGAAAAGCAACATTTCTTCTGTATACTTAACTTTCCAAGCAGATTTCACACATGAATGGGGTTCTTGCCTTGAAGTATGTAGTTATGTAATGTTAGGAAACCATTTGTAACAGATTTTGCAATGCAGAAGCCAAAAGGGGAACCCCCCCCCACCAAATATAGGGTGAGGTAAAATCTTGAAAGATGCATATATTCTTTTGATGTTGCTGTGGAAGCCACATAGGTGGTTTGTCTTTCTTTTCTCTCCTTTTTTTTTTTTTTTTTTTTCTTGGTCTTGTTTGATCACGAATGAGGTAGTGTTCAAAATGCCTACAAAAAAGAGAAGATAACTTCATTGCAGCTTCTGCAGTACCAGTAGACCTTTTAGAATGGAATTTGCCAAATCTCTTAGAGGAGTGGACTGATAATCTGAGCAGCAGGCAGTCACCTGCTTAGGTATGCACGTGTACAAAATAGTGTTACAAATATCCTGTAGTTAAAATCTAGCAGTTTGTGTATGAAAAAGTTCACACATCTGTGCATAATGTATGCTACAATCTCTTTTGTACCTAGTAAACAACTTTTGTAATGGTATCCTGTTCTAAATTAAATCCCAGGCTAACCTGTGCTTTGTGGATGTAGACAACCATTTCATCGAGCTGCCAGAAGACCTACCCCAGTTCCCAAATAAACTTGAGTTCGTTCAGGAAATTTCAGAGATACTAATGGCTTTTGGAATTCCGCCTGAGGGAAACCTTCACTGCAGTGAAAGTGCCTCCAAGATGAAGAGCCTCAGAGCATGTGACCTGGTTTCCGATAAAAGAAATGGGAACATAGCGGGATCACCTTTGAATTCCTATGAGCTGCTAAAGGAAAATGAGACTATTGCAAGACTCCAAGCACTTGTTAAAAGAACAGGTGTGAGTCTAGAGAAGGTAAGCTATGAAATTATCTGCATTCTCTCTACCTGCAGTAGCAGGTGGTCTGAAGTGATGGTCCAAAGACTCTGTTTGTCTGTCTTCACTAGAAAGAACTTCATGTTAATGTGTTCGCAAACTTTGTGAACATCTCTAGAGACAAGGGCAAGCTTGGGGAAAAGTGGGAGTGGGATTTAACCCCACAACATCTAGGGAAACCTTTGGCTACCCCCAAGTGTTTCTTTGCCAAGATAATGTGTTTAAAAATACACCTTGCCTTGTTTGTTCTTGGGTTTAAGATTTATTCTAAATTTATACCACTTTCTTGTGATTTACATGGCTAAAACTGGCATCCAGATAATTCTGAAGTTGGAATCCAATCTTGGTTTCTATAGGTAACTTTCTTGTTGTGTGTAGAATACGTATAATTTTGCTTGTATATAATATGCTTGCCATAGAGATATTGTGATTCTTTTTCCTGGTTGATGTTGTAAAGTGCATTAGTATCTGATTCCCAGAAAGTGAATGCGCACAGCTTGTGGTGACCCTGGTTGGATTTTTTTGGGTGATCAGAATTGGGGGAAAAATGTAGCTGCCCTTTTTGCAGAAAAGGTATTACCTGAAAGGCCACTGTGGGTTTTTTGAGCCTTTTTGGAACAGAATGAAGATTTTCTCAGCAAATGTTTTATTTCTTGCATGTTTGAATTATCTAGATGAGTTTTTAATTGCTGAGTCCAATTCCTACCCATGTGATTGTAACTTGGGCTCCAGGTGGGGCCAGAGATAGTAATTGTGTGACCTATACTAGGATGGGGAGGAGAGCCACTTTGTGGGGAGGGAGCTGCAGGGGGGTTACAAGAAGCAGCGTTTGGTTACTAGACAGGATCAGATGCTGAAATGAGCTCTGTTCCTCTTCTCAGGTTTTTCTTTTGCATTGTTTTCTTGTTCAGGGAAAAATTGGCAATAAGTTTTTTTTTCTTCTGCTGAATGGATTGGGAAGTGATGGGAGAAGTACAGGTCTCAATTTCTTGTAAGTTTTTGCACATTTAGACAAAATGTGCTCTCTCTTAGTAGTTAAAGTCCATTTTACTAGCCTTTTTTTGTGATGATAGGAATGTATAGGTTATAACTGTCAAAATTTTCTCAATACTTAAATAATTTAAAAAACCTGCTTAATACCAAATACCCAATCAATGGAGAATGTATAGGGGCCAAGTGCTACTTAAAGGATGCAGTTAGAAGAAATGGCTGAATAGCAGAGCTCTCTCCAGCACAGAGCGTGGCTGTAGGATGCTATTTATAGCTGGCCTTGGACTGCTATAACCAAGGTGCTTTAAGAAGTGTGGGACAGCTGCAGCAACTGCATCATTGTGCAGATGTTGTAAGCTCTAGATATTATGTCTAATTTTGTGTGGTGGTGTCTCATAGTAATTAAAGGGGTGGCAAATGTGTATTCAAACTAGTGCATGAATGCTTGTGGCTTTGATTATTTTTTTTTTCCTAGATATTCAATTCCTATCAAAACTAATACCTGAATCTCATAGTGCTGTTTTCATAAACACATGTTAACTTGAAAATGCATTTTATTTCATTAAAGATTACTCTGGGCTGCGTAGTGATGAATTGTACATTACGCTGCTAAGGACTTAGGTTAAAGGAAATTGGCTACTAGGCATGCACAGCTTCTTTTTACTGTGCGTCTCTGTCTTCATTTGAAAGCTGGTACGTATTGAACTGTAACAGTACTAAAGCTGGACTTGTATTACACCAGACAGAAATAGGTAATTAAAGGGTAAAAGAAAGTAAATTAAGTATATGGCATGTGGGCATGTATATGGTTGTTATCTATCCTTTTTTAATCTAATGCATATGCAGTGCAACCAGTACTAAAGGTTATGATTTATTATTGAAATTAGAACTTTTATACACAAAGTTTTCTTTCTAGATTTTTTTAATGTTGCTGTTTTATTACAGTGCTTGAAACTGTAAGTATTCTTTTATTGAAATGTTGCCTTGAGGAGTAGCAGCTCAATGGCAGATTAAGGCCTTGTATACCTAGAATGCCTGACAAAGCAACAATGCAATTTTTTTTGGTGTTCCCTTACTTTCTCAGTTGGAGGTGCAAGAGGAGACCAGTAGCAAAAAGGATCTTAAAATACAGTGTGATGAAGAAGAATTCAAGATTTACCAGCTGAACATTCAAATCCGTGAAGTTTTTGCCAACCGCTTTACACAAATGTTTGCAGATTATGAAGTATTTGTCATTCAACCTAGTCAGGACAAGGAATCTTGGTTTACAAACAGGGAACAGATGCAAAACTTTGATAAAGTAAGTTGTAATAAGAAGATATGTCAATGTGAAAAGTAACCAAAGTCTTAGGTTTGAATACTGTTTTACTGAGCCATAAAATGGAAAACAGTACTGTCAAAATTGTAATTTCTTCCTTAAATTTCAGTGTTCCCCCAAAAAGTCACATCTTGTACATCATGTAGAAAAAACATGTAACTACACACACTTAGAGAGATAAAGATACTCCTTTAACGATGTTGTAGAAAAGTAACTTGGAAAACCTCACTTTATGGCTAACCTCTACATTAAGGTTAAATATTACTAGTGAAAGTGATTTTTATTATTTTTTTTTTTTTTAACCAGGAGAATTGTTGACTATGTTAGCGGATAAAGCCATGATCCCACACAACACTTACGTACATGTATACCAAATGTATCCCTAGCTCTTTTTTAGGGAAATGCAAGACCCAGTTCTTCAGATTTTACTACTGTCTTCTTTACTGGGGATCAGATATTTGTCAGCAGGGTAGTTCACGTGGGTGAAGATTATGTTGCAGCACTGCCTGCTAAAACACTAATCTGATTCCCATCAAATTGTATGAAAAGATTCTCATCAACTTCACAAGCTTTGAGCCCAGCCAAAAGTGCATAATATCCACACCTGCAGTACTGTTGTTGTGGTTTGCTGGGATTCGGACAAAATTTTTAGAAAATTAAGGAAATGCTGAAATCACAGTTTAATAATTATTGTGCTATACATGTCATGAAATTGAAAATTTCATATAGATGGCCTGTTTCAGAGATAGAATTCATGTGTGTAATAAAACTAGGATCTAAGTGCCACCAAAGCACTCTAATACATCCTTGGTAACAAAAATTGGTGCTTTTGGTGGATGTATCTCTCTCTGCAAACTCCCAAACGCTCTTATCTCTTCTTGTCTGTTAGGCATCTTTCTTGTCGGACCAGCCTGAACCTTATTTGCCTTTCCTCTCAAGATTCCTGGAGACCCAAATGTTTGCATCTTTTATTGACAATAAAATTATGTGCCATGATGAAGATGATAAAGACCCTATTTTGAGAGTATTTGATTCTAGAGTGGATAAAATTAGGCTGCTAAATGTTAGGACACCAACTCTGCGCACATCTATGTATCAAAAGTGCACAACCATTGATGAGGCTGGTAAGAGTAATAAGCCACTTTCTTGACACTTAAGAAAATATAACTAGGCAGTGCTGTTTGTTGTGGACATTAGGTTAAGTAAAGTAATGATTCATGCTTTGAAACCTCAAAAAAAAAAAAAAAAAAAAAGGCCAAAAAACTGAGGTGTAAAGCTTAAGTGGGGGAACTAAATGTTACATGGGAAGCTGAGATGTGAGATGAAACTCCTGTAAGGTTTAATTAAACTCTGTTTTCCTGCATGCTTTGTGTGAAAAATGTTTGAGCTTAAGAAGATAAAGATTTTTCTCCTTTTGGTGTCAGTTCTTTGATATTTAATAAACTGCTGTGCTAGTGTACCTGTTGGGGTCAGTAAGAAACTTCCACCTCCTACTTTAAATTTGAGATTGCTTTTAGTGGAGGATGTGTGATTATAGATGCATGTCTGATAAAGACACCTTTAAAAAAATTAACTTTCTTACTATTTCAGAGAAATCTATTGAATTAAGGCTAGCAAAAATAGATCACACTGCAGTCCACCCACACTTGCTGGACATGAAAATTGGACAAGGGAAATATGAGCTTGGATTTTTTCCCAAGCTACAGTCTGATGTTTTATCCACTGGACCAGCAAGCAACAAGTGAGTAAGCTAGGACAAACAGGTGTTGGACCTTGGCAAGAACTGTAGAATGGTACTAAAGCGGAGATACTAGAAAGGAAATTCAGTACTTTTTTTTTTTTTTTTAAAGTGAGAACAAATCAGATGATGTGGGTGGGTTGTATTGTGGGGGTTTTTTGTCTCTTGTTTTTTTTCTTTTTTCCCTTTTTTCTTTTTTAAATCTGAACTTCCAGAATCCAGTTGACTTAAGAAAGCCCTATTGTGTTTGAGGTTATAGTTGATGTACTTTGAGTTACTCATATTTACTGTCCATATAAAAGCAGATCTATTTATTGGATCTCAGTTAAGAGCTAGCAAATATTTTAGGATATCTTCTTATAAAAACTTTGAAGGAAGAGGAAAAAGGTATAAATTGTAACTGAATATCGTAAAAGAATGGAAAAATACAAAGCAAGTGTATGTAACCTAATTTTCTGAAATCCTTTGGTGGCCCAATGTTGGATTCTTCCACAGAGGTTCTTTGTGTGTATTTGCAGCTGCACTTTATCTGATGTAATTGATGGCAACATGTTTAACATACAATAAGACAGAAATTTTTATTTCCCCCATTGCTGCTCCCCTTCACCTAACTCTTGTCTTTGGCTTAATAACATTCCTCTGTCTGTAGGTGGACAAAGAGAAATGCTCCTGCACAGTGGAGGCGCAAGGACAGACAGAAGCAACACACAGAACACTTGCGTCTTGACAATGATCAGAGAGAGGTGAAAACTGTTCAACTATAGAGATCTGAATTTTATTTTTTTTTTCCCCTGATGGCCTGAATAATGCTCTGTAACCTTTATGAAATGTCCAGTTACTTGCAGTCCATTTCTGCTCTCCCTTATTTCTATTTAATACAAAGGAAGTTCCTGGTCCTTAGCAGACCAAAACTACCTAGTTTGCTTGGTCTAAAAGTTATGCCATTTTTACCCCCTCTCAGGACAAAATTATTTCATCCTATGTGTAGGAGAGTTCCCTGAAAATGTCATCACAAGCTTTAAAGTTTGTTTGTTTGTTCGTTTTAAAAAAAAAGTAGGGGGGCGGGGTGGGGAGAGGGAAGGGAGGAGTTAATCTTAACAGTTTTTAGCCATGTATTTCCAGTCTCTAATTAACTTTGACACCCTATGCTTCTTTTGTATATTTGATGAAGGAAAGTTAACCACTTCCAGAGAGTGATTAATTTCATCCTAAAAGCACAAGCATTGCCTTTTGGTGTTGCCTGTTTTTCTTCTGTAGACCATAAAAGTAGTCTTAGGGTGGGAGACAGACACGCAACCTCATGCTAAGGTGGGAATGTGAACCCCACCCATACTGTCAGGTTTGTGTCTGCCTGTTTTTACACAGCACAGTCTGATGCTGATTTACCCACCTTCTGAACTGATAACTTCTCTCACCAGTGCTGACACAGGTCTGTGGTGAAGGAATTTTGAAAGTTCTGGGCGATATGAACTAATTATAGTGCAATTTCTGATTCATATGATAGAGACTGCAAACTGTTACACTGGATGTTGATTTATGGGTGATTCCAAGAACAATCTGGTTTAAAATATCAGAATTCATTTTTTTTGTTCAGTAACCTCAGAGCTTTACTTTTGTTTAATGTGTGTTGTTCATTGAAGACAATATTCTCTTGCCTTCTTAAATATATTCAGAAAAGCTTCCCTTGGAATTTCAAAGTAGTCTTGTGTCTGTAAGGATAATCTTGTCAAAATCAAATATCTTTGTCTAGTTCATTATTTTATGTTAGTGATGAGTTTGATTGCCTTTCCAGTGTACTCATTTCCAGAATTTTCTCATTGTTTTGTTAAAACTTTGTTGAAGTATAGTGTCATCTGTCATCCATAACCATGTAATAGAAGAATGTCTACATAATAAAAAAAAAAAAAGCTACGAGTAATTTCTGGCTTTGACATGTTCCATGTGCTCAGATAACTCTAAAGTACTTTTTACTTAGAAGTAACAGAAGTGAAGAATAGTTGATTTGTAACCTCATTATTGCTTTTAACAGTTATGATGTTCAGCACATGTAAACTTCTGAGATTTCAGTTGGGTAAAAGGCAGATATCTACCTCTAGTCTCTGGGGATTTTTGTTCGTTTTGTTTTTTTAACTGACTTCACATGTTGATTATCCTGTAGGAGTTACTCTGTCACATGAGGCAAATAATTTCTGAGGAATAAAAATCACAAATACATGCTCCAGTGAGGGTACCAACTGCCAGGTTAATCTGTGCTGGTGTTTTAGGGGTTTATGCTGTACCTTGTCAATTACATAATACTGGTTGGACATTGACCCCCTTTCCTGGGTGAACCAGAGACTTTCCTGTTGAGTCTGAAGGAATGGGGAGGGAGCCCTTCCGAGATGAACACTGGGGATCAGGCTGAACAGGAGGCAGTGGTTTCAAAATGCAGTGCTGAGAGTTTTAGACAAATTGAAGCTTTGGGGCAGCCAACAAAAATCTGTGGAATTGAGACTTAGTGGCTTTTAACTTTAATATTTGTGCCCAGTGGAGGGGCAGAGTTTACACCATTCCAATGACTGAACACCATCTTTTCTTTTTTCCTTTCAGATTCATTACTTACGAATTTATTTTTATGTTGAATGCTTGGGAGTTCTGCATTGTATTATGTCTTCACTCTTTTCCCTTTCTGTTTTGCATGCTTGCTTTTATTACTTCATATGTGCTTACCACTTTCGCTTTACATGGTCTGCTTGGCTTTTTGCTACCAACTTGTCCTGCCAGCACCTGGACTTTTCCGTGTCAGAGCTTCAGTTGCAGTTATGTTTAGACTGGGACCAGCATGATTGGCCCTTCATGCCCTCTATAAAATCTGTGTCAGAGCGTTATCTGGTATGTCCAATGCACAATATGACTGTAATCATAGTTCTGGATAAAGATGCATAATTAAATGTATGTATCGTAGCTCTTAATTGCAAGGCTGATGGAGAAGGTGTGGTTTTCCCTGTTTTCAAAGATCATACCGTGTTTGACAAGTCTGTCTATTCACTGATCTTTCAGTTGGTCATTATTGCAGTGTAAGCTAGAGCAGTTACCTACTAATCTGAAATGTTTACTAATCCTGAGTATTCTGTCAGTGCCTGTAGAGGATTTTCTCTTTATCACTTGTTCACAGTCAGCCATGCCCCAACCAATCTGTGATCACCTGTCTTTCAAAACATTATTATTGTCTCCGGGGTGAAAACAATGGCAACTCCTTGATGGCAGTAGGAGGAGCAGAAAAGCTCTTTCAAGTATAGTGAGTTCAGGAAATTATTTTGCTCAAAAATGCAGATGGCTTACAGCTGAGAGCTGTTAGAGTTTTGCAGCTGCTTCCTGAAAGACTGGGAGGGTGGGTAAGACAAAGGAGATATGCAGGAATGTAGGGCATAGCACAGACCTCAGATGATGTCAAACTCCAGGCAAACTTTTCTTGCAGTTCCCATGTAGACCAGTCTGCTATTTGAATAGTCTTGGTCTGGGTAATTACAAGAAACTTTCTTTTAATGAAAAAATAACAAGGCAGTTCTCAGTGGTGGAGAGAGTAATTGAATCTCTATGCATCTAAATATCCTTGACAGTTTGTATGGTGTTTTAGTTATTCAGCAATGTGTGTTCTAATACTAGATAGACAACGTGAATGGGGATTTGACCTCCAGTGAAATAGTACCTTCAGTGTCTCAGCCCAATATAATGCTAGATATAAAAAGGGGCCTTCTCTGAAAGAGGGTGTGATCCTTATCCCCTCATTGCACAGGGGTGGGTTATAAAGATGAGTTTACCCTTTTCTCTTGGCAAAGTAGTCTCACTTGCACTTTTATCTGTATTTGTCAATTTTCTACCCCAATACAGAAGTATATCCAAGAAGCCAGGAATCTGGGCAGCACTATTCGGCAGCCCAAACTGTCTAACCTCTCTCCATCGGTAATTGTGCCGGAATAAGGTAATATAGAGAATAATTCTGTTCTCTTGCACCTTGTATCTATCCTTTATGGACCATTTCGTGGCCAATATGTTTGAACCTTCCTCTCCGCCGTCTGTTTCTGCTTTATCCCTGTGAAGATTTTTGCATGGCATCCATATAAAGATTTTTGCATGGTAGAGAGAAATTCATGAAGAGATAACTTAGAAATTCTGCAAAGACTGGAAACTTCATTATGCTGATATATGATAGAGAATGTAAAATGACAGAAAGATTGAATATTCTGGTAGGTCTTTATCATCTCGCTGCCCAGGTCTATTATAGCATATTTCAGTTATCACTAATGAGACTATACTGTTTAAACAAGAGCAAATATTCCAAAAGAGGAGGTTGTGGTGAAAATACAGGAGCTTTTCTCATAACTAAAGGAAGTGGGTTAACAAACTTCTGAAACGTAAGTTTTAAAGCACTTAACAAAGAAATTTGGCATTAGTTTGTCGACATGCTTCACCAATATGTATTTGACAATATATTTATCTGAATTAAATGTTAATGTTTATACTAACGCAGTAAAGAGAATCATAATCAAATCGACACATTCTTGCCTTAAGTCAGTGGAGGTAATATAGCAATTGTATACAACTTTTCATAAAACTGTGTTTAGTACGTCCATTTACTTCCGCTTTCACTTCTGTCTTCTGCATGTATGAAACTGTTCAAATAATCTCCTTCACTTAATAGAGACATGTGATGGTGAGAATGCTTGAAGATAGACTTGGCTCTTTCACTGTGGGAATGCAACCCTGGTGGATGTAGTGAGCCTGCTGTTAGCAGAGAGAAAGTACCAGGGGAGGTGAGGAGGAGGAGAAGCTAGACACTAACTTGGGAGTTCTTAGTCTCAACTAAGACTGTGCATAGGTGCCTAAGGGAGTATTACTCATTTGAGAGCTACTCTAGAATAGCAACAAAGATGAAAAAATGTGTAAGAGATGAGCAGAAGTAATTCCCTAGTAATTTTTCCCTCCAGGGAATATATGAATGTATTGTGACTTGGGAGACTGTACTTTAGGAGTTGGTGAGAGCTTTGTTGACTCGTATGAAATCGTGCGTGATTTAGGAGAATGTGGCTTATTGGGAAACTCAGGAGATGCACTCTGGAATGGGTTTGGTTTAAACGCAAATACCCCTCTGACAGAACAGGGTCTCACAGGAATGATGTATCCCCCTGCTACTAGGAAGCACTTGTGCACGTTCATCTCCTGCTGGAGGAGGTGGACATGGCATACTGGTCCCAGTCCAGCACTCACCAGGCTTCAGAAACACCTGAGCCTGCCTTGCAGGGCCTTGCTGCTTGTCAATGTGTGGCCTGCTGTCCCCTTTGTTGGGGTTACTCTGTGGAGGCTTGTGTGCCCATTTGCTAGCCCTTTGTGAGAAAGATGGAAGCGATCAACATGGGTGCTGCTAAGGCTTGAAAAACAGGGATAAAAGAAACGCAGTCCTGTACTAGCTTCAGAAATACTGCATAGGCCCAGTTATTCTGCCATATCTTTGCTATCATGTGCTTCCTTGCTGGTTATCTAAAAAGTGATAAGTGATCTTGGAAGTTCCTGTGGAAAGAATTAACTCTCTTTTGCCTTGTCCTTTTGAGACCAAGAGAATGTTGGTGGAAAAAATGGGTCGAGAAGCTGTGGAGTTAGGTCATGGTGAAGTGAATATCACAGGCGTAGAAGAGAATACCCTGATAGCCAGTCTGTGTGACCTTTTAGAAAGGATATGGAGCCACGGTCTGCAAGTCAAACAGGTGAGGAACAAATATTCCTGTGTGCTGCAGGGTGCGCTTTCCTAAAGTTGTGTTACACTCTTCCTCTCTCTGCTGAGACCTGTTGTGTATATATAAATGTGTTAAATACTTGTGTGTGTGTCCCAGCCTTTTTTCTGTCGGTTACTGCCCCCTTGTCTGTCTCCACTTTTTGCTCTGGGGTCTGTGCAAATGCATATGTAGATGCATTCCACAGATGACTTCTTGGAAGACTTTATTTCCATTTAACCTGTTTTTGTTGTTGTTGTTTTGATTTTTGGTGGTTTTTTTAATAGTATGGTAAATAAAACTGTTTCTGTGTCCTTAACACTTTTGTTATTGAAGTAGAATAGGCCATAAGGCAGCGTATGCTAAAGGTGCTGTCAATGGGATATGATATGGGGAATTGTTTTTGTGAAGGATAATTTAGTTTTTAAGAGTAAAACCCTTGCTATTTTGGTTCTTCCTGAAAGGTGTAGAGATAGTTAAGTGATGTTTACAAGCTCACTAGTTATAAGTGTTGCTGTTTGTGTGAAATTAATAATTGTTGTGCTCTTCTGTTTGGAGTTGCTTGTGAGTATAGATGGAGTTTGGAAGGCCTTTATACCTACCTTCTCCTTTGTACCAAGGAACAGCAAGGACAGTGAGGATTATAACTTCTTTTAAAAAAGAATGTGCAGAATAAATATGTGATCCAGACAACTGTAATTCATTATCTCTGTTCCCCACACCCGAGCGCCAGTGTTTAAATCTGCTCTCCTTCAAACTATATAGCAGTTCTCTATGTGAAGATTTATCATGTGATTCTCTCCCTTCCCTCTTGTATATCACTTAGGATAGAAGCTGTACTGCTTTCGTCTTAGAAGACAGAGCATCAGTATACTCTGCTTCAACTCAGATTTGGGCCTTTCAGACCACCAGACGGCCAACCCTACATAAGGTTAATGCTTTGGATTGATTGCAGATGTTGGCAAACAGTGCTGAACGGTGGAATAAATAGAGTGGTAGAATATAATAGAGGCCTGATGGAGGAAGTGCAGTGCATCTTATATTATAATCCACAGGTTAAAAAAAAAACAACAAACAAAACCCAGCAAAGGGCTGCTAATTCTCTGTGTGATCTGGCCTTTATTAAATATGCAAAAGCCTGCTGTTTTGTACAAAAATTTTATTTTATTTTTCAATAATGAGCCAAGGAAGACTCTTCTTTCTCAACTGACCATAGTAATGAGGATGGCTTTCCTTCCACCAATCCCTGCTTTTACCTCTTCCCTGCTGATGAGCCCTGATAGTCCTACCTTAGCTATCTAGTGATTCTTCCACTAGTGAATCCACACCTTCCTCTGCCCAGAGCAATGCAGGAGAGTTGTCAGATTTAGGGTCTAATGACTGAAGTAGTCTGAACTTTCAGAAGGCCTTGGTTATTCCCTTGCCCGTGCTCTGTCCCATTGCTTTCCTTAGACTGTCTTCCGTTCCCTTATAGATACAGCTTGCATCATCATTGCTATTTGGTGAAGTTAAAGGAGAGTAACATGATGGTAAAGGAAGTGGGCAGATAAATACTGCACAAGTTCTTACATTCACCATGATTGTTGACATCTATTTGCTGCAGATTCCTTTGTATGCTGCTTTATGTGATCTGTTGCATTTCTTGTCATGGCAGTTAGTTGCTGAACGCTAGACTGTGTGTGCATGTGTGTGTTTATTGAGAGAAACGCCATTTTGGATGTAACTGTTCCCTGGTTGATATTTTTCATGCTTTCTTTTTATATTTTTATAAGACTTGCAATTTTTGGCTTTCCATGTTGGATCTGGCAGGTACACACATGAGGCATTGAAGTTCTCTGGATTTTTTTATATCTTCGCCACTGAATGCATATTTTTAATAGAATTCTCTCAACACAGATGTTGCAGACACTCTAGACTTTATCTTGTGGAGGCATGCCACTTCTGGAATAATCCCTCCTGGTCATTAGCTCTTTACGTCAACTGTAGTGAGCTATAGGATTGAAGTGTTTAGAGATTTTTAAAGATAGTTTGGTTTGGGTTTTTTTTTTAAATATGTTTCAGAGTGGAACCATAATGACTGCACCTCCAGTAAGGCACTTACGTGATTTTAGATGACATCGGTAGTGCTGAATTGACAACTGTTGCTTTACAGTCATGGTTTCTTTCCGCACAAAGAAGTTGTAAATAAAAATACGGCTTTATAATATAACTGCTTTTCTGAAATGCAGAATTGCTAAATCTTTACTTGGATTTAAAGTTAATATAATAATTTAGGAAGATGACAAGTAATGCTAATTAATTTCCTCTGTAAGTACTTCCAATTAATGTGCTGGAGAGCCCCTGTTCAATTACTGCTGTCTTTCTGTGTCTTTGCAAGCTTTTGATTTATCACACAGAGTATTTTAGGATGAATCCAAGAATCTTTTTAGTTTGCCAGATTTCCTCACACTCTACTTTAAGCCACCAGAGGTTTAAGAAAACAACATAATGAGCAAGGTGCACTTTTTAACGTCATTTGATGGATTTATCTTGGCCTAAATACTACATCTCTAATTTTAACTTTAAAGTTGATTTCATAATGTGTAGAGCTGGGGTATTCTTGCTGATAAGCTTTCATTGTCCTGCTTGCCTTACAAGTTGTCTTTTCTTACTGTGTTTGTGATTATCCAAGTCCTTTGCTTGATGAAATTGAGGTGGAACTTTTGTGGTTCTGAAAATTGACAGCATACACCTATACCCCTGAAATACCCTGAAGGGAACAAGACTTGGTCTAATTATAAGATGGTTTACTCAGGCTTGCTCTGTATCACTTGTCATTTCACTGCTGGAGAGGCAGGGAGGGAGAGACACATAGTACGAGTTACAGCCTCAGACTTGCACATAGTGTTTTACAAAAAGTCTTTAAATGTCTTCTTGTCATGTTAACCAACTATGCGAAATGAAGTTCAATTGACTTTTTCCTCTTACCAGAATCATTAGATCCCAGTAGTTTGACTCTTGCTTTTCTTACTCAAACTCTTCATAGCTCCCGAGCACCTCCAACTTGTGTCTCATTTTTGGTTTTTACCAATGATTTTATAGGGAGAAACATATTTAAGCAAGCTTTTGCTATGGCTGATAAGTTCAATGATTATTTTAAACTTTTTTTTTCCATTATTTTATTCAACTGATAGTGATTTCTTTTACTAATATTGTTTTTAATTTTAGGGAAAATCTGCTTTGTGGTCGCATCTGTTACACTACCTAGAAAACAGACAGAGAAAAACTACATCAGGCAGCTTTAGTACCTCAGGTAAGATTGGGTTCCACTGGAAGATGACGGTAAAAAACTATGAGTAAGAGCTGTCTGCAGATTTGCACCATGCAGAGATTGTTTCCTTGGAAATATCCTGCAGTCCGTATGACTGAATCACGTACTCTATCCACTACAGAATGAATATGGACCTGGTGTATTGTCTGAATATATTTTGTGAAAAATAAACTTGTTTGGATTGGCCCACTTATTTGGGTTTGGTATTTGACTACTGCAGTAGTCAGATACCAGAAATATCTGATATTTCAAAGACAGACTTTAAAATGGATTGCTCTGATAGAACATCCTCCATGTGACACACAGTCACTATGTGACTGGCAAAGCATATTATGTTATGGATGGGGGTGGAAAACAAGTATAAGTATATAAAATTCTGCTGTACATCCTGAAGTTTTACATTCTCTATTGAAAAACAACTGAACAGTAGGCTTATTGTTTAAAAGAAAGAGGCATTTTAAAAAAAACCCAACCTGTAGAAACATATTTTAATTTTTGTTATATCAAGTGTTGCAGTAAAAGTAATATTGCACATAAGATCTGCTGATAATCTGTTTCTAAGATTAATCATGTAATTTTTACACACTACTTGTGTCAGATGACAGCATAATTGGAGAGAACAATAGTTTTGGGGGAGGTGGTGGGTGACTTTTTTTGTTTTGTTTTTTTTAAAGTTGCTGTAGGTAAAGAGCTGAGCATTACTAACATGCACAAGGTCCTGTAAGCAATGAAAAACAAAGATTTGGAAAGTATTAAGGTCTCCTAAAAGTCACTTGGTCCGTAGTGTTTTTGCATATTAGACTGAAGTCGTAATCAGCTTTATACTTTCTAACTTGAGATTTAGGGCAGGGACTATATTTAATATACAATCTGGTTCTAGAGTGGAATTTGAGAGATAGGAGTAATAATATTGTTTAAAAAAACCCCAAAATGTGCTATTTTAAAAAGTAGTGGTGTTACAGGAGTCTGCAAAGTGATAGATTAGTTAAGCATGTGATGTGCGGCGTACTGAGTAAAACATGTTGAACACTGTTTTCGGGTGTTAACGGTGCCGGTCAGTTTTACCACGTAGAAAGAAAGTAGGGTAGTCTTTAGAAAATAATACTTGATTAGTATATGTCTTAAGCCATTTGATGTCATACCAATTTCAGCTGAATCTAAGCTCATTAATGTGTTAATGCTCAGTGTGTGCTGATCTGCATAACCATCTGTGTAGCATATTAGATTTTCATGTCACTTGAAGTGGAAACATGCCACAGTATCTTCACAAAGCAGTGAGTCACCAATAATGCAAGAGTGCAAGTTGGTGTTAATTCACCTTCTTTTTTAATATTGATTTTTTTTTTTTTAAACCTTTAGATGGATTTCTACTAACAAGAAATTCTGTTCTTCTGAATCTAGGAATACTTCTTGATTCAGAAAGGAGAAAGTCTGATACTAGTCCAGCCATGTCACCTCTTAGAATCTCTCTCATCCAGGATATGAGGTAAGTTTAAACTATTAAAAGCAACACAGAAAACTTGTGAGATTTGCATACTTGTTTGTGTGTATAAGGTGTACCATACAGAAAAGTCTGTTTCATACATCAGGAGGAGGATGTAGGGAAGGAACGTGCTGAACTGTTTAAAGTATATAGTGCAACCTTTTCATTGACCTTTACAAGAACGTTTCTTACGGAGCAGGTTTTATGTTATCGCATCTACTAGCTTATAGAGACACCCTCACACAGTTTTCTTCTTTTTGTAAGTATTCTGTATTGGTTTATTTCCACAGAGATGTGGGTGTAGCATATGTACTTTCCCAGTCATTGCCAAGTTGGTTGTGTAGCTCTGAGCTCATTCTTGATTCTCAGTGAAGAAAGCAGTTTAAAGAACTTCTTTGATTTAAAGAATGGGTTTATCTAACATTGAGTACTGTAGTGTGAATAAAACTAACTTCTGCTCAGTGCCTTCTTTTCAGTACATCAAAAACCAATATGCAGAACTTCTAAATTAATTTTGAAAAGATTTTTTTCTTTCCTCCTTTTACCTTACCAACTTCTAATTTTTTCATTGGGGAGGAGTGAATTGAGGATTTTCAAGGGACATGCTCGTCCTTTCAAAATATATCATGTGTCTTGTATGCAAGAAAAGCTACTGCTAAGCATGCAAAGACAGTATTTAATTTTCCAAAGCACTCAGCCATAAATATTGCAGTGATAAGGTCCAGAATGATTCTTAAATTATGTGAGGCAGTGGGCCTGGTTTAGAATTTTGTAAATAGGGCACTGCATTGCAGATATTCCCTTTTCAGGCTCTTATTCTTTTTCAGCTAGATATGCAAGGAATTTAGATACTGCTGAATATTAAGGTGGTCGTACCTCTTTTTCCAGTAGTTTGCCTGATATTTTGCATTATTAGCAAAATTCCTTCTTCAGCCTAGCTTGGTTCAAAAGAACTGTCGCATTTTGAAAATACTGGGCAGTGTCTCTTTTCTTTTCTCCACCCCGCCCCCCCTGCCCTTTTCAGGCATATCCAGAACATCAGTGAGATCAAAACAGATGTTGGCAAGGCCAGAGCCTGGGTTCGTCTCTCTATGGAAAAGAAGTTGCTCTCTAGACATCTAAAACAGCTGCTTTCAGATCACGAACTCACAAAGTAAGATGGTTTATCTTGGGCAAAGCTTTTAAAAATTAAGCCTGTTTAGTTGTTTGACTTCAAAAACCCAGAAGTGCCTATTTTTCCATCTGCTTCGCAGTGTGCAAAACTAATAGAATAAACTATCCTTCCAAGTGTCTCTCTGTACCTGTGTATGAGCTATTTGGGAATTATGATTTAACGCTGGGGTTTTTCAGATACAGAATCAGTTCTGTCAGCATAGACTGTCTGTGACTTTGAGGTGAAATTGAAATCTTCAAAAATTACTAGGTACTAAATGAAACAGGGCATAAGTCCAAACACCACTACTTTGCTGAGTCAAGGTTTTTATCTTGGCCCCCTTATTTGCATTATTTGGTTTTCCTTGGATTGTTTGTGTGTCTTCACAATGCATGACAAAGTGCAGCTTACATCCTTGTACACAGTTCTGTGACGATATGAGGAGTGTAAAGGCACATCCAGATATGCTTCTGTGATTCATGTTAGTGTGACTCAAAGTGACTGTTCCTGAGCTTCTCACTTCTGTCTCCAAATCTGAGATGTTCTCCTAACTCCTTTCAGTGTCATGTAAAATAATGTAGATAAAATCAACCTCTGGTGTGGTTTAAGAGAGCAGTTGAATGGTGTACGTGTAGTACCTTGTAAGGTGACTAGGAAGGCTGTGAGGATCAGTTCTTGCATCTCATTTTGGGGCAGTAAACTCAAGATGAGACCTGGTAATCTTTTGAAATCTTCCATTTAAATCTTTTGAAGTATGATCGTCTACATCTCTAGATCAAGCCGACAGTGTCTCAGCTTTATTTGTCTTCTCCTACACAGTAAAGGTTTTGCATTTATAGCCTGCTTAAGAAAATAAGGTGAATTACTTTCGTAATAGTGAAATACCTGCTATTATGATTAATTTTGTTTTTATTACTTCTAAACATTTCAAAATATGTGACTTTCAATTCAATGTGTATGAAGTCATAAAAAAAAAATGGAAAGAGCCAACCATTGAGACCCAAAACAGTATTTAAAGAGTAACTGTACTACAGGAAGAAAATGGGAAAAGTATATGAAGTATATGGAATATGGGTGAAAATTGAAGACTTGAACCTGGAGAGAGTTCCAAATACTGCTGGCTTAAACTCTATCGAAAGTACTCTGGTAGTGCTTCTTATAAGTACACAGCTTGAAGGGCAAAAGGAGAAATGCTCAGCACAAGGATCTGTTTACTTGGCGACGTCCAGAGCACGTGAACATTATATTATCTTTCTAAATGTAAATAATTCTTGTGTAAATAGTTGTGCAAAACAGAGTACAGGCCATATTTTAATACTAATTGGTTTAGAAGTTACAATTTGAGGTTTATTTAGTGTAACCTATGCAGAAAATAAATGTATTGCTGATAAGGTTGAATATACTGTTTACTCTGGAAATTAAAGGTTCTCTTGTATGGGCCCTAGTAATTGTCATTCGTTTTCATTGAAGACTTCTTTCTGGGAGGCAGTTTAACTTATTCTGTCTACTCTTCCTTTCTTCTCCTTACACTCACACCACCTTGCAAGAAATGTCTTCCCTCCCCCATTCCCTCTGAACCCTAACTGCTAGTTATTTGAGATTTGCTTTGTATTGAATTATATTAGATTTTCTGATGAAGCTGCAGCCTTCCAACTGTGAGCAATGAAAAGCTGAAGGACAGAGTGAGGACAGCTAATAAATCTACCCGTATCTCTAAATTAAGGTTACGCCTCTCCAGTCAAGTCAACAGTCCAGATCAGGTTAAATTTAGTAGTGCTTGTCCCATGCAGAACAAGTGCTGTGAGAGGATTTTCCACAACCACCACACTCCACTCCCCCCCGGCCACCTCACCCCCCCCCAACCAAAAGAAGAAAAAACCCCACCCAACTCTCTTAACACTGGCCAATGCACTGTTCATCTATCAGGCAGATTCTGATTCTCTAGAACAGAGTGAGACAGCAGCAAAAATATGTTTAAAATGAAAGTGATGATTGAAGGAGCAACTTGCATAGGAATGACATCAATTCTTTGTAATCTTGCGTGCTTCGTGCTGCATATTTAAATATCCTACTTAAAGGAACGTGTTCTAGGCAGCATGGATTTAAAATGTGCTCCATTTGGTTTTTCTAATGGAAGCAGTGCTGAGTTCAGTGAGGTACTAAACGTAATTGTGCACCTTCTGCAATTTTACACTTAACATGATTGCGTGTTCTTTTTGGAAACAACTGTTAGATGTTTTAATTAACCCATTGTCATCACTTTGCATTTGCTAAAAAATATAAGAAAACCAAAACATGTTTCTTTCTAGTCTGCAAAAGCACTAGACTCAGGGAACAGAAGGAAATCACATAGCTTTGCTCCCCTGAGACTTTTATGTGCACAAGTAAACTAAGAAATCTTATGCTTTGAAATGGCAGGACAGCACATACCCTTGCGGACAGGCTGTCTAAACATGTGGTTCAGGTTGTTCAAATGAAAGATGGACACAGTCACCCATGAAAACTTTGTGGGTTTGCTACTCTTGTGGCTACAGGCAGGTTATGTTCATTTAAGGCTCAGTATCTTTTTTTTTTCCATTGAACATATCCTGTCAATCTCTAGTGTTATGTTTGTTATGTAAGTGAGAATGTGTGTGTGCTAATTATCATTGATTTGTTTTGCAAAGTTCTGGCTTGTGAGTCACTTGCTGACTTTTTTTGTAATTGATATCTGAAACTGAGGGGAATTGTCAGGATTCCCTCCTGGCAGGAACAACCTATGCATGGCTGTGTCAGCGTTTCTAACACCCAATTCATGCATTCATGATGACGTGAATATTCCCCTATCTTCAGTTGGATTTTGATGCATCTTGGCATGCTCTTCCTTTATGATTATTCACCAACACTGGAATTATTTATTGGATGCATAATTAACAAAAATTGTAGTGATTGCTGTGTACAAATTAGTAACTTTAAGATTATTTTCCTGTCAAAATTTGCATTTGAAAAGGTTGGGCTTGTAAATTATTTTCAAGGTTTCCCAGTTGCAAGTCTTGCAGCGTTAAATTCTCTAATGTGTTTGAGTAATTTCAGTAAGTATATAAGATGTTTCTGTTTACAATGCATTCTTCTGCATAGGCGTTAGTGTCTCCACTAGTGAGAGAAGGCTACTGAGCTACATCTTTTGATATTTCCACTTAAAAGTAGTCGGAGTTCTGTACGGTGTTGCAGTCCTAGCAAAGAGTTTGCAACTCAGTAAAGGGAACAGTAGGACTTCAGGCCACCTTTGAATGCTTATGATTTTGGTTATTTCAGGAGCTGTGTACTGTCAACACTGAAGCTATTCCCTAGCTTAATGTGCGGGTTGTTGTAGGCCCTGGGTTATCACCTATAACCAAATACAAGCAGATATCCCCAGTGTTTGCCCTAGTGTCCTTGGAAAAAAGTCTTCTAGTTGTCTTATGTCATGGCACCATCTGCTTGGAAGGAACTTATGAGGACTCTCTTTACTTCGGTTCTGTCATTTTACATGGCCAAAAGAAGTCAGAGAAATTTTTGCAAGAAAGTACAAAAGTCCTTTTTCCATCTTTTGGGGTGTTTTTGGGTGGGAGAAGACCCTTAGACCACCCCAAACCTTGCTTTCAAGGGGTGGAAAACAGTGTGAAGTATTGGACTGATGCACTTGTGGAGCTTCAGACTTGCAGAGTGTCGACATATCTTGGCACATTAAATACTGTTGGCTGTACCAGTATCACTTGTCATTTGTAATCGCTTGCACATTCTTCATAGTTTACCTAATAAATATGCATAATAGAAAACATTTCACTGAAAGCATCTTGTTACTATGACAGATTATTTGTTTTGCTTTGTCAGAAAACTCTACAAGCGTTATGCATTCCTCCGCTGTGATGATGAGAAAGAACAATTCTTGTATCATCTCCTGTCATTCAATGCTGTTGATTACTTTTGCTTTACCAATGTTTTCACAACAATCTGTAAGTATTTGCTTTCCCTGGAACTCTGATTTCCAGAATTGGTTGAGTCCTTATCCAAAATTCTAAATGGCTCTAAGCAACATGCCTTAATGTAATTGTTCTGCTTTCTTCCTGGTATCCATCTGTGTATGCTGTATCGCTATTTCCATGATCCTCTCTGGTGGGCAGTAGTGTCTCTCTGTGTCACTAAAGGCTTTTGTTTCTAACTTGGTAAAACACAGGCAGCTGTAATCCTTTTAGTTGGGGGAGAATTCTCAACAGAAAATTTTGCAGTGGGCATGTTTGCATCATACTAAACAAGAACAATAGGGGTTGTTCATTATCAAGGTGGTAATGTTAACACATGCTAGGAATTAAAAAGAAAACAAAACTTTTCAGCTTAGCCTACTTTGCTGCATGCCTGTTTCTGACTTTGGATGCAGCCCTAAATGCGCATTTCATTGTTATCCCAAATTCTGCAATGCATTAAAGTACTTTTTTTTTTTTTTTAAAAAAAAAAAAAGATGCCCTAGAGAAACTTTAAACCTGTTGTTGGTGATGCTGAAATGTATTACCAAGTTCTCGTGCATTTATGGGCCTGCTGCCACAGGACCTCACTAGTAAGGCAGATTAAGGAAAGACTTTAGCAAGGCTTAAAAATTGGGGGGGGGTGTGTGAAAAGACCCCTCTGGCGCCATGGTAGGAGCTACCCTTGGTGGTATGTTATGATCCATATTTGCATGTGTGAAAGACAAAGCAAGCAGACGTCTAAGCAAAATAGTTTCTCGGCTTGTTGGGGGCAAGTTCTGGACAATGCTAAAATCTGGTCTGCTGGATGCAGTTAAATTGTCGCTTACTTTAAGATTATCAGGACAGAAAATAAAAAGGGAAACATTTTAATTCATTCTTAAATGCTACGAGCATCAAGCTTTTAAGAAAATCCAACCACCAAATGCTTTCTTGCGGGCACTGACAGCTGAGGACATGCTGAGGGAAAAATGTATTAAACGCCTCAGCTGAAAAGCCCTAACTCTAATCCATTTATGCACTATAAAAGAAGGGCACTTCGCCAAGGAACACAATGACCATTCAGATAATTGGATTTTGTTATAAAAGTTTAGTTAATAGGGGGCTGTGCATGAGATGCTAGGCCACTGAAAAGCGCATGCGTTTCCTCAGGAGCCCATGCCTCCTGAGTTAGGGAAGGGGTTGTAACTCAGGTGATACTATGTTGAATTAGTCACCGGTAAACCAGGGGACCAAAAAGCATTTAAGCATGTGTGGTGCCAGTTAGAGGGGGGGGAAAGTTGTTTGTTCTTTTTAAAATCAAGTCTTACAGTTAGCGTAACTAAGAGCAATATGGTACAGAGAAAATTGCAGCATATATGTATTTTCACTGAATTTGTTCAGCCACAGTAGCGAATGCTGCTGCAAGCAAGCCCTGCAAAGAAAGGCTTTGGTTAGTAATTGAATGGGAATTGGTGTTAGTTGTGTAGTGTGCTTACTTGCACACACAAAAGCAGGGAGATAGGAGTTGAGCATTGAGTTGCATGCTGAGCATATAGTCCTGGATACCTGAATATTCTGTCTTTACTTCCTTGTCTCTAAGCTGGGGACAAGTAACCAGCTTCATGACATGTTGTGAAGCTGGTAAATGAAAAATTATTGTACCCGTATAAAGGCATTATTCCATCCATATTTCTTTTTTCATTTGACAGTGTTTTGCTGTCAGCTCTGCTTCTTAATGATGGCTATGCGGACACTTCCTGATTGTCAATCAGTGCTTAGCATGCAAGTGTTAGCATGATTAAATAACAATTCTGATGTTGTTTTAACATTTTATGGTACTGCAGTATTATTTTATGACTTATCTTTTCCCCCTCTCTTCATTAAATAGGTCACGTAATTATCCTTCTTCATTTCTGAAGTGTTATTTCTTCCTGTGTTTGCAGTGATACCATACCATATATTGATTGTTCCTAGCAAGAAACTTGGTGGCTCGATGTTTACAGCCAATCCTTGGATCTGTATCTCGGGAGAGCTGGGTGAAACAGCAGTCCTGCAGATTCCCAGGAATATATTAGAAATGACTTTTGAGGTTTGTATTGCTTGATGCAAAAAATGCTTTGGATGTTCGGCTTGTTCAGTTTTAAATTGTCCCCGTGCTATCCCATCTTGCCGTGCATTTCACATCTTTAGTCTATGTGATCAGTTGCAAATACATCCTGTGCTTGTACATAGCAAATGTAATCTATATTTAATGACATGCAGAGCAAAATGGCTGACAAATCCTTAGTGCAAGGATGGACAAGGTTGTCTTTATATTACAGCTTTGTGCTGTAATGGTGGGAGGTGTCACATCCTCTTCTGTTGAAAACGAAGAAGTGATTCTGCTCTGATTAGTGTGTGCGTGCGTGCATTGGGTGATTTTAATAGAAAATTCTAGCTCACCTGTTGTTCTCTGTGCTGATCAAAATAGTATTTAACAAAACAAACAAACAGAAACAAATAAAGCAACCTACCCCTAAAAAGCACAGAATCGATTATGCAGTCAGAAAAGGAGAACCACATTACTGATTCCCTGTCTGAGCATGGTCTCTTGTAGTTTACATCTCCGACATGCTGCTTTCTTCCAGTTTACTCTAACAAACTCCTTGTTTAATTTGCAGTGCCAGAACCTGGGAAAACTGACCACAGTGCAAATAGGACATGATAATTCAGGGCTGTATGCCAAGTGGCTAGTGGAATATGTTATGGTCAGAAATGAAATAACAGGGCATACTTACAAGTAAGTATCATCCTGACATTTCATGTTGGGTAAGTAGAATTTCTGCAGGGAGCTGGCACAGTAGGGCTTGTTTGATTAGAAAGGTCTTATCTCCTGGGTCTCTGTCTACAGTTGCCACTACCTGAAGGTGTAGAAAGGTCATTTGGCTTCTGGCATTAAACAAGTCATGATTCTTACAAAATTAAACAGAGTTTTCAGTTTGCAGATGCTCATGTCTAGCCTCAAAACATTGATAGAAAAGATGAGTTGATTGTTGTGCATCTTAAAAATAATCATCGTTGAGCCCAAAGACGAAATAGCAAGTTAGAGCTTGCTGCTTACCAAATATGGCTGGTATTTTTATATGAAGGCTGAGTGCTCTAGGTATTATAGAGACACCTTTGGACACAAACTGGAACATAAGGGCTTATGAGTGTTTGAAACCTGTGTTTACACAGTGAACATAAAGGAATGTGATTTTCAGTAAGAATTAAATTTATTTGTGTTAGGTACAGCATAGTTTGATGCCCTGTCCTTTGTTTAGAGAAACTACCAGGCTCATTTTGATGAAAGATTGCTGGGTAAGTCCACGCAGTTCTCCATGCCAGTTTGTTTGTAATTAAATGAAGAGGCAAGATTCTATTTTTGGATGCTGTTCAGTTTTCTGATTAAACTGACATCAACATTGGTTCATAGAAAGTGATAATGAGCAAGTAAGCACATGTGCTTTCTAGTGTGTGATTTAATATCCCAATTTCAATAGATGTATAGGTGTTTTGGCATTTAAGTATATATTTGGGGTGTTTATTTTGTGGCTGGCCTGATATGTAACGCATTCAATGAAAGCATAGGTATATTTTACCACCCACCTTTAGTGTGTAGTGGGTCTTCCCCTTCTACCTCTTTTCCTCAGCAGCCCTTAAATCATGTACTACATACAGGACACAAGGCAAAATCTGCCACTGTTTGCTTGGCGGATCATCTAGTGTGACATTTAGCACAAACCTGGAACTGAAAAGCTGTTTTACTTTTGCTCCCTCTGCTGGCAAAAGCCAAAACCAAGACTTGGTTTATTTATTGCTAGATGAGCGAAGTATTTCTAATAACTATACTGGCAGAATTTCAGGTTTATGCAACTGCAGTTGGAAGTCTTTGGCATGGAATTGAATCTCAGTTGAAGGACTTGATCCAAATACCTCCTTTATGTTCTTAGGTTTCCCTGTGGAAGGTGGCTTGGAAAGGGAATGGATGATGGCAGCTTAGAGAGGATCCTGGTGGGAGAGTTGCTGACTTCCCACACTGAGGTTGATGAGCGGCAGTGCCGAACCCCTCCTTTGCAGCAGTCACCAAGCATGATCAGAAGATTTGTCACTATATCACCAAACAATAAGCCAAGTGAGTGGTGGGGGATGTCTTGTCTTGTACTATTCTGCGTCATCACCTGAGGAGAGCTGCTTGCAAACAGCACTGTAGGTTTTCTTGTATTTTAGAACTGTAGTTTGGAAAGGACCTGTGAAACTCACTGAGCCCAACCCCCTGCTCAAAGTCCAGCGAACTTCTGAGTTACAATCCTGAGCAACCTGTTCTATCTACTCAGGTTTTGAAAGTCTTCAAGGATGGAAGGAAGATATCTCTGGACTCCTGGTCCAGTGCTTAGCTGTCCTAGTGGTGTTTTCTGTATTCTTGTCCTTCATCTGTGGAATGAATTCTATGGAGGAAGGTAGAAATTTGCTGCCCTGTCTCTGTCTTCATGGATTTAAAAAGCTTGCTAGTGGTTTCTACTCATGGACTTCAGTTTTCTATTGAGATCACTGTTTTGGGGTTGTCTTATTAGTGTTAAATCAGGTGGTTACTTTGCTCCCAAGCATGCTTGGATACACAGTGAAACTATCACAGGAAGTATTTCCAGGATGCCCAGATCTGGTGGTCCTAATCAAAGCACATGTCCTGTTCTTAGTTTTGGGCACTAGTCTGAAAATGCACATAATATGTAAAAACCCTTTCCACCTGTTGTTGTGTTGAAAAACCACAGTGTTAACTTTGATATAAAAATGTCGCTATCTCCATTTCTACCTCCTCCACAGTAAATAAATTAGAATGGGATTTCTATTACCCACAGTCTAGCACATTTCCGCCAATAGCACATGTTATACTGATTCATGCTCCTCCTCTTTTTTTTTGTGGTATGCCTTATCCATCATGCACAGGTACAATTTTTAAAGCTGTTACAGAGTGACTGGAGGTATTCTTGTATTTTGCAGAATTAAATACTGGTCAGATACAAGAAGCTATTGGTGAAGCTGTCAATGGTATTGTCAAGCATTTCCACAAGCCAGAGAAGGAGGTGAGGAGTTGTTGTCTGTGCAGTGGCACTTTTGTCCTAAAACTATTAGTGAGCATTGGAGAATATATAACAGAAATAACTAAGCTGAATGAACAGCTATGTGTTTGAAAATTCCTTAAGTGGAGCAAAAATGAGATACTGAGACTATACTGTTGGAATAGTATATCCTCAAGTACCTCAGTTTTGCTGCGAACTGGAGCGTTCTGTTAATTTAAATGTTAACATTCTGGTATTGGAAATTGTGTTATTGGTCAAATTCTGCCAAGGATTCTACCTGTACCACTGTCAAGAGTGTTGCCTCCTGTTTAGTTTGTTCTGGATTAACTGATATTTTACATCTACATTGAGTACTGAGTAGGTTTTTTAATCCCCTTTTTGCATTATCCTTACTACTTAAAACATGAAAACCCATGGGCCACTTCCAAAAAAAACTCCAAAAGAAACAAAAGACCTACATCCACACCCTCCCCTACAAGTGAAGCAGAATTGCTCTCAAAGACTCTGGTACGCTTCTATGTTGTATGTGTAATCACCTTAACTGACTCAGCAGTTATTTCCTAAACAAACTGAAGAAGCATGCCTCTGTCAAAGCATCACAATCCAGCCCTTGTGAGCAGGAGTGGTGTGGAGTAGTGCTGGCTCTTGTAAAAAATTAGTGACTTTCAAGAGACATCCATACAAATAGGTCCACCCATTCCTTCTGCACCTATCTTTTCTAAGTTCAGTATAGCATGGCAAATTCATATGCAGTGTAATTCTTGTTGATGATCGCATTTACACAATAATATCAACTGGTCATGCACCGGTTTTGCAAAATATAATTTACCGTCATGTTCTAAAGAAGAATTTGGGTTTTTTTTCCTGGGGTTTAAAAATTGCATTAAATGTTGTTTTTGTTGATAAGCAAACAGTCTGAAGCACCTGCTACAATGGACCTGTGATCTTTATTACCTAGTTAAAGAGGAAAATATTTTCTTAATTTTCTGTTTTACAGGTAAATTTCTGTATTACAGGTAAAACCTGCTCATGATCTTTATCTTGGCCTTTTTGTGGCTTCATTTGATGACAATGATGCCCTGAGACTGGTTTATTCAGCCTCATTCTTTGAGAAGTCAACAAATTTTTAAATGCTCAGGACTCGTGAGAACTGGGCCATCTTGTCTTGTTTGACAGTAGACTGTAACTTTGGGAATCTATTTATTTAAAAACTGGTTTCAGTAATAGATGCAAGAGACACTTTTGTGTCCCAGACTTCCTAACTGAGAAAATAAGCGTGTATGCTTTCTGTGTGTGCTTGGCAGAGAGGCAGTCTGACGCTGTTGCTGTGTGGAGAAAGTGGACTTGTTTCAGCTCTTGAGCAAGTGTTTCAGCATGGATTTAAATCACCAAGGCTCTTCAAAAACGTCTTTATTTGGGACTTCTTAGGTAAGTGGGAAGAAGGCATACCAGAGCCTGTTTGTGTCTTCGAAATATATCCATCTGTGTTCCTTGTCGTTGCCACTGTGTCTCAGCTGGTGTGAACAGCATACTTCTTGGAGGCATCTTGGCAGCATCTCCTTATATCATCATTTTACTGTAGCATCTCAAAATTCAGTAGATACTAGAACATCTTTAGCGCTGTTCGGAGGGAAGTGGAATCCCAGTTTTACACATGGAATCAAACAGAAAAAACCCAATGCCTAGACATAATCATTCAGGAAATTCATGGATGAGCTTTGAATCTAGATCTTTCAACTTTAACTGTCCCCTCCATGACGCAGATACTCATGCTGATTTGCCAATGGTCTGATACGGACATCAGATAGCCTTATGGATTTGTAAGCATGCTTATGGGGAAAGCATTATACTGAGGTGGTATTAAATTTAATCACCTATATTTGAAGGTTGTAGTGCCTAATTATTTTATTCCAAGCACAGAAGAATGATATTTCAGATATTTTAGGATTGCTGTATGGACTGATGAAACTTCATTATCTCCCACCATTCTTTTAAGAAAAAGCACAAACATACTATGAGACCCTTGAGCAGAATGAAATGGTCCCAGAAGAGAACTGGCAGACAAGGGCCAGGAATTTCTGTCGCTTTATTACTGCTATCAACAACACCCCTAGAAACATTGGGAAGGATGGCAAGTTTCAGATGCTGGTGTGTCTTGGAGCCAGGTATAAAGAAAATTCTTTATTATTGCGGTCGTTGTTACTGATATTTTAATACAATGTAAAAGCTATTGTGTATTAGTAAGACAAAGCCACACAACTGCTGGGTTGTGCAGTTTGACTAAAACTTATACAGTTCTTTGATGTAACTAAAGAAGGATCAAGTGAAGCATGGCCTGACTGAGTTCTTAGGCATGTGAAGTGTGGGAAATCTGAGATATGAAACTAAATATCCCAAAAAGCTGAGCAGCTGAATCGAGAGAAAGGTAGTAGGCTAGTGTGAATACCCTCCCTCACATGTACAGCTAGCAAGGTCAGAAGATAGAAACAGAAAACCACCCATCAGTGATGCCTGTCCAGTTAATGGCTGGGTGAATTCCCCACCCTGCACCTACTCATTGTAGGAGATGGGCAGAATGGAAGCTGGGACTGTCTAGAAACCTCTTGACACAAAGGCAATGGAGCAGGCTAGTGACTTTGGGCCTGCTTGGGACTTCCAGGCCTCCTGGGAACCGTATCTTTTGATGTGAGGGGTGGAAAGCCTAGAAATGCATCTTTCACGGGTGTTCTGTGCTTGGACAAGTTTCACAGACAGTTACTCCCCTTTCCCCCGCCTTATAAATAGTACGTGGAGAAGATAAGGGGTCCGTTCAGAAGACAAAGAATAAAAATCATGTCAGTGAAAATGAGAAATTAACTTGGCTTTATTTTTATTTCCAAATTGCGAATTGCCACTTTGTCAGAGACCACCTTTTGCATCACTGGATCGCCCTGCTCGCAGACTGCCCGATCACAGCACAGATGTATGAAGACATAGCACTGATTAAGGATCATACTCTTGTGAACTCTTTGATTCGAGTGCTGCAGACCTTGCAGGAGTTCAACATTACGCTGGAGGCATCTCTTGTCAAAGGAATCGATATTTGACCTCTTGTTCCACAGGAAAAAACTACCTTAAAAAAAAAAAAAAGAAAAGCAACAAGGAGTGAATCTCGTTAGTATGCAAAAGTTCTGTCTGCCAGTACATTGTATCGTGAACTTGTTCGAGGCCCTAAAATGCAACTTTGACTTTTCTTGAAGGAAACTCCAAAAATAGTACAGGCAAATGGATAGAAGCTGTAAACTCAATGTAAAAAAGAGGATTTTGGTATAAATCTATTTTAGAGTTTATTTGCTGATTTGCTTTTTACACACTTTCATGTGAAAGAGATAGAGATGAGTATTGTGCAGCTTATTTTAAAGCTGCAGTATTTCCTTGCCATAGAAAATGTGCAGTGAGCCTTTCAGCATTCTGTGAACTTGCCTTCAGATATGCTGTATGTCATAGACCCCAATGTATACACTCCATTTCTGCTGAGAAGGTCATTCTATAGTTTTTAAACTAATATTTTATATATTAACATTATTACCAATGTTTGATTTTTAACGTATTGGGTCATGTTCTGCTGCAAGGGAACTACAAATCTGATGTGTGCTTTTTTTAATAGCTCCAAAGCACTGATTTGTCAACAAATCATTTTTTTCTTTTATTTTTGTTGTCAGTATTATTTTTAGTGAAATCCAGGAGACTGAACCATGAAATGTGCAGAGATCAAAGTAATATTTTTCATATTGGTACGTAATTGCACAGAAGAAATTAAGCGTGTTTTTTAACTGATGTTTTTTATTTATTTAACCTATCATTGTGTTTTGTAAGTTTGTCTTAAAAAAATCTTCTATGATACAACTGGCTATATGACGTTGCAATTCAGAATTTACAGTGCAGCCCACTTAAATGAAAATACCTGGAATAATTGTTCATAACACAAAAGTGTTTCCACTTTAACCAGCCTTGTGAAGTTTGGTGCATGGTTGCTGCTGGAAATCTCTTAACTGCTATTAAAGAGGGACATGAGTTCCCCAAATGCCAGATGACTAAATAAAGGTGCTTATGCCCTCATGAAATAATAATGGTACACCTACTACTAACAAATATAAGGATTTCTTAAATTTTCTGAAAAGACAGTAGTAAGGTTTTTTCTTTCCCTTTTGAATGAATATGTCTTGAATCCTGCTGTCACAGTTTGCTTCATTTGGGATGCTTTTGTTTTTAGCAGAGAAATCTTTAGTCCAGTTCTACAATAAAACACATTTTGAAAGCTTAATTTATTGGAGATCTGGAACTTGGCAAATACCTAAATGCATCTCTGTTCATTTGAATCCTCTGATAAAAATCTCTTTGAAATTAATATGTGACTTAAGAACAGGCTGATTTATCAGCATCAAAAATTACTGTACAGAAATTCAGGGCTATGTATTTAAGAGGTCTCCACTGTATAAACTTATCTCAGTATTGCCTCTCTTTTGAAAAGCCGAGTCCAAGTTTTTTGGTTCATACAATGTTGTAGCACCTTTTCTTTACCTACAGCTTAGTCACATCTTGTGATAGTCTTATTTCCATAATTTATAAGTATAGCACATGTATTAAATTTTTGACTATTTTTACTTTTGTCCTATTTATTTCATTATTAAACTGAGAAGTTCCTTTGTCACTACTTATCAGAGCAAGATTCTTTTTTGATTTCACAGAAGCATTAGGAAGACACAAGGGCAATGTCCAAGCCACTGCTCACACTGAGTGGGTGTGAATTCTTTCACAGTCTGGAGCTTACAGGAGCATTTCACGGAAATATTTTGTGTATGCAGGTTTTGTTTTGTTTTCTGCTTTGGAAGGGCAAAAATAAAACAGATGTACTTTATTCTGAGAATTTCATGTATTCAACTTAATATGTTGGGATAATCTTTATATGCTTACCCCACATTGCTTACTCATGTATTAATAATAGCAAAAAAAATAATTCAGTACTTTCAGCTATATGTAAGGTGACTTTGCTAGGCCTGTGTATTTCACAGGCAATACATCCATGTAAGAAAGGATGTTTGGATTAATTATTTTGACCTTAACAGATTAGTTGATCCTGTGAAAACCATTTCTTATAATATTGAGTATGGACTAATTTTATCTTGCATGAGGTCATTAACCCTGAATTAAGGTTCTTTTTTCTTTTTTTTTTTCAACTTTACACAAGTTTATGTAGTGTGGCATGATACCATTGTTTTAATGGCTTGCTTTGGTGTGGATCTTTATGGCCACATTACAACAGTTAGCAATACCTGGGATGGACACAGGCTGGGGTTTGCTGGTTCCCAACGGGCGGGTTCTTTGGCTAGCACAGGAGGATGAAGCTGTCCATCAGTAACTGCACCCTGTGTGCTAGCAAAAGGAGGATGTAGAGGTCATCTTCCCCACTCCTCAGTTATTTTATTTTCACAGGAAAGACTGTGATAGACCCATCCTGCTTGTCTTGCAAGGGGTCTATTCTTAATCCCATATAGGATCCAAAGCACTTTCTGCTATGGACTTCCAAGTCTGGAAGGATTTGCTCCACTGAACGACCAGTAGAAGGTTCTGAAATGCAGCAGAAAAAATGTTGGTTTTGTTGGATCCAGAGGCCACCAAGGGAGATTGAGATACTAAATATAGCTCAGTGGTAGCCTGTGCTGGGGTTTTGGGAAGAGATTTGGCTGGCATATCTAAGAACAGGTCAGTCTGTAGTAGCAACCATAATCCCTACCACTCTTCAGTGTTTACCTGGAATCAGCCTACTTCTTTCATTGATGTAGCTAGCATCAGTCCCACAGAATAACGTTAGGATCCAGCATTTGCTCCTTCCATTCCACTCCGCTGAATTGGATGACTGTATAAGAACAAATGGTGTAGTCAGCATCTTTTCCTCTTTAACTAGAGCTTTGAAATATCCATCTCCCTTTTTAAAACTTGCATTGCAATTTTTGTTCAGATATGAGCTATAGAATAATGCAGTTGTAACCTTTTTTTTTTTTTCTATTACTTTTCTGAAATATGGGAGCAGGTTTGGTAGGTGCAAGTTAATGTGGCTATGGTGTTTTGTTGTTTGGGGTTTTTTTGTAACAGCTAATGGGAAAAGAGAATTATTTTTTTTAACAGCACACATACATTCTGTAGACAGAAAGGTAACGATAAAAAGTAAGTAGTTCATAATGCAGTAGGTATATAGTGCTAAATTGGCTAAACATGTTTACAGGCTGATACCTGATTTGAAGGGAAAAAAACAGGCTATCACCTGTCAGTTATTTGTGCTTGTTTGATTAATGCTGTCAGAGTTGACACAATGATAGTTTATACCAAAAGAAAATGCAAATTAATAAAGACTTGGTTTAAATGTAATGAAATACTATGACGATAAGTTTATACAAAAAAAAAAAAAAAGCCTTAACCTGCCATTAACTTAACCATCTGGCATTCTGTAGCTGAAAACATATTAATGAACTGAAGACGATTCCACAACTTTTTTCCATTATGAAGAGTATTTTTCAAATTGTTCAAATGAGACCTACTAGCTGGATGATCCATATTTTTAATGTGTTTTGAATTCATGAATATGTTAAGATTTCTGCAGTGAAACTATTCAGAGTTACCTTTTTCTGTATATTGTCAAATGATTTTTGTCCATAGTGCAAGATACTCTAGGATACTTCAAAATACTTGAAGATATTGTACACGTACTTCACATCTTTGTAGTTCTTTTATTTTATACCTAGAGATTGGCTGTTAAACTAAGATAAACCATCAATACCTTATAAACTATATATTTTACTACATGGGGAAATCACTGGCTTGGTTTTTTTAAGGGTGGGCGTTGAAGTTTACATTATAATGGTAAAACCAGGTACTGTTTTCCTTTTTTATTTTTCCTGTGACATTTCAATCCATTGGACATTAAATGTGAATTGGATATACAAAACAGTTTTACAGGTGTAGCTCATTTGATGAATTGCAATAAAATTTGTCTTCTAACATGAAAAATAGCATTAATGTGCTATTTGCAAAAGCCTCTTATAATTTGGCTGATAATCTTTTCTTCTTTGCCTGACTTGCCAGGTAGGTATGTCATTTTGGTGTCCGATTTCAGGAGACATTTTTTGTACAGTTTTGTATCTGATCTGTTCAACTAAATGCCTGCCTCCCTCCCAGCACCAGTGTAGCCCTCACACAAGCAGTTGTTGTCGGTCAGACTGCCATCAGTGGAAGAGACGCCTACTCAGTAATAAGGGCATGGGGAGAACAGGAAGGCAAAGGGACTAGTGCAGATCTCGGAAAGTGCCTGTGAGTACACGCACACCTATGTGCTGCCATTTATATTAGCTTTTTTCCTACCTTAGAACAACTTTTGATTCTCATAACTAAATATGGTGGAGGTCTCCAAATTTTATGTTCTGAAAAATACAATTAGTCACCTCTACATACCATGTACTCGACCTTTCTGTTTGTGTGGGAGGATCCATACAGAGAAGCAGGAATTGTTGGAAATGTAACTATCTGATGCTTCAAATAAAAGGTTAAGTGAGAAAATAGCACTGTCCTCCACCTCTGAGATTCTGACAACATCTGCGGCACACATGTGCCCAAGCATTATTGTTGATATTGTCTGTTTTTTCCTTTTTTTTTTTACCCCATCTTTGTCCAGGGTAAGATCTAACTTGATCATCTGTGGCACACATGTGCCCAAGCATTATTGCTGATATTGTCTGTTTCTTCCTTTTTTTTACCCCGTCTTTGTCCAGGGTAAGATCTAACTTGACAGAAAGTCTCAGAGGAGCAATTACTGGGTGGAGGGATTCTACTGGCACAGAGGCAAAAACATGGTTCCTTCCTTTTCCATTCATTAACTTTTCGAATGATTTGAAGTACATACCAAAGTAGTGGAGCCCTGCATAATCTTGGTTCATTAGATACTGCTGTGCTTATCTCACCTTGAAACTGGTTCTGCCTGCCTTACTGTATATTAAATCTAGTTTTTAGATTTGAGTGGACTAGTAAACAAACGTGAGAGCAACTTTCATTTGTGGTTATGCTTTTGTACTTTTCTGCTGCCTATGTCCTGAAAATTTTATATATTGATTGTGTGAGAAGCAGGGAGACTTGGGTCGGTTTTACCCACTTAACATCTCTTGCTTCATCTGAAATGCACTCTCCAGGTCATCCCTGCTTGAGCAGGGGGGCCGGACAAGATGACCTCCAAAGGTCCCTTCTAAACTCTGTCACTGATTCTGCAGTTCCTCCCCATGTACAATGACAGGAACAGGTAAGAAGGCTGACTGCCACTTCCCCCACGTTGTACGGTTTCTGCCATTCATTAGTAGCCCAGTGTCTGCAAAAAACAGCTCATCCTTCAGGTGCGCTTTTTTTCCTTTGTTTTAGGGAGCTGACCTCCCTTTTGTCAGCTATAGGCAGAGAGACTTGCTTATTCTTCTGACCTGTATGTTAGCAATGGCTAACCTCTGCTTTGACAAATTCCTGCTTTGAAGCTGACAAGTACAGAAGGTAA